TCGAAAATGCACCAGAGGAGGCCATTTCGCGAATCTTATTTCCAATCCAATCCGCGTTGCCCTCTCCGCTTGAGTGAGAGGGTCGTTGTGCAGAATGTTATTTTCATGTTTTGCCGGTTTCAAGACAATGACTGACGGCGGTGATGGAAAAGTTTTTTTTTTTATCCCCACGTCGCCCATGTACAGATGCAGCGATGCCAAGAGCAGTCACAGAAATGTATTTGGAGCGACCCGGCTCTATCTGGTTGGTAACAAAATAATAATTCACTACGGCGACTACCCTCAAAGACCGTAGAGTGTGCAGAATGGAAAAAAAGTACGGCAATAAAATTGTTGTTGAGGAAAAGATTAGTAACGTTCCCCCAATCGACCAGCCTAAAAAAAGGCCCAACTTTGATGGGGAGGACGATTTACAGCCGAGAGTAGACAGATGAAAGGGAGCAAATCCAAGACTAAAATTAACTTCTAAACCCCCTCGCTAAATTTAAGAGTGGATGGTTTCCCACACGATGCTTTCCCTGAATGCTGCCGTACGAAAAAGATGCCCCCTCTTCCTTGAACAGACTGTTGGGGCAAGTGCTGTTAGCGAGCACCTATGAAGGCCGGCACGGCACACGAGGGCATAGGTGGCCAGCACCACGCCCGGCCGCCTTTCTCTCGCTAGTGACGATGTTTTACACACCAGGCACTCATTTGAGGCTGACTCGACCTAGAGGAAGCCCATGACCGGTTCAGATATTCATCACTGGTATTGACCGTGAGTGGGAATCGAACTCGGGTCGCCACATTCGCAGCGCAGTGCGCTCACTGCTAAATGCTGCTGCCTTACGCACACACATGTATAATATACATATAAGTCAAAGATTTCCCCCCCACCCCCTCTAGCCTCAAGAGACTGTTGGGACAAGTGCTGTTAGCGAGCTCTTGCCAAGGCACGAGGGGATAGTGCGGCAAGCACCACGCCAGGCTGAAACTCGGCTTGCTGGTGGTTTGTCGCGTGTTGTGCGAACTACTGTGCTCACCGTTCCACAACCCACGGCCGAACACAGTAACAGTACAGTGCAATGTACTGCGTAGGGCTTTTAAGATTTAACCAACATTCACGTGGTCAGCCAATATGGGCAAGCTCAGGTGAGTGATGGAGTGGGGGCGTTGGTGGGTACAACGGGAAATATCATCATCATGTGGTTGTGATGTGGAAGTTGCTTGCTTTGTGTTTATGTGAGCAAACTCACAACTTGGCTTTACCATAAGCCAGGATGTTTCAATTAGTATTGCACTTCAATTGTCTGTGTGCGGTGGGCACACGCACGCACACGCACGCAAACATACACCTGCCTGCGCTCACCAGCATATGTCCACGCTTAAACTCGGCAACAACGACGATGCCAATGCAGCGCTTGTGCCAGGCTAGGTGGCTACACTTCAAGGCTATCGTGTAAAGCAGCGGTTCTTCTTCTTAACCCGGGGGTTGCGAGATGCCCGTTCTGGGGGTGCGAGACATGGTCAGATTTTTTAGTTTTAGACGGTAAATCAGGACAAACACAAATTAAGCACGGGCACGGAAATACAGCTTACTTTGTTTCATCAAACCCTATGTATTTATTAACTTTATATACATTTTAGTTTGTTACGATTGAGAACCAAAGGGGGGCGGCGCAGCAAGGCTGCAGCAATAAAAGGTCATAAGAAGCACCGGTGTAGAGTGGGGAAGACTTCTCGCCGCTGGTGCGCAGGGGGTCACGGGACCGGACTCCCCCAAGGTGTTTATGGGTCGACGGTGACCGAGACGATCGGCAGGTGACGGCCGCCTGTGCTTGGCTCAGCGTGCCGCCTCGCTACGTTTTATCCGCCCGGCGCATCTCGTTCGTTGTTGTGAGCGTCGCTCCTCGGATGTTGCTGGGGAGGGCGGCTTGCCTTCGAGCAGCCCAGTTGTGTCCATCACCCCTCCGTTCTAAAAAAAAACGGGAAGCTATTTTTACTTTAGCAGGTGAGACCCACTGGGCTCTTCTTCACGAGCGGCCTGGCCATCACCACCGCGAAATGGCAGTGAACAAATGAAAGCTCAATGAAGGTGGCTCATCGTCACGTGGACATTAATAAATACTCAGAAGCGCACGCGGTTTCTGAATGTGGAGGCAAAAAGCGGAGGACTCGGAGAAAAATCCACGCGACCACGGGCAGAGTGGGCATGGAAACTCCACAAATATACAGCAGCAGCAGGCGTCAGGGTCGGGATCGGACCCAAACGACCTCTTGTATACCAGGCGAGGTAGTTAACATCTCCTAGCCACCGTTGTCATTGTCGTTAACAGCGGATACGTGCTCCGATTTATAGTTGAGTGTGTGTGCATGTCACTGGGTGTGATTATGTTGAGGATGTGGAAGGTATGACTTTGCTCAATCCGGCATGATGTTTTAATTATAGCTGCACTGCAACCATTTGTGTGTGTGTGTACATGTGTGTGGTACGCAAACAAAGGCAAAGATCCCCAATATAGTATAGCCTTTAACAGACTCGGGACAAGTGCTCGCTACTAGTTGAACACCGCGCACACCTGCATACGCTGACACGTGCACTTGTGTTACCAGCACACACACATACACACACACATGCACACACACATACACACACACATACACACACGTACTCTGACACACACAATGGCATTCACACCCACCCCCACCCATACAAGTACACCTATAAATACGAACAAAGACAAAGGTCCCCCGTATAGCCTACAGTAGAATGTTGGGGGCAATTGCTGTGAGCGACCATCCCATGCATGCCGGCACGGCACACGAGGGGGTGGGTGGCCAGCACCCCATGTCCAGCCGCCTTTTGTCTCCCTAGTCGCGATGATTACACAATGCACCAGGTACTTCATTTGAGGCTGAGTCGACCTAGGGGAGCTGGTTCAGATAATCGTCACTGGTGTTGGCCGTGAGCGGGAATCGATATCGGGTGGCCGGGTTCATAGCACAGCGCACTTACCGCCACACACACACTGACGTACACACAGACACACACGCTGACGTACACACACACACCCACGTACACACACACACCCACCTGATGGTAAGGCCCCACCTCTTAGTGGCAAGCTCCAGGTTCAGCAGCAGCGCCTCCAACTCCTGAGCAATAGGGAGCCATCCCTTGACTGCACCCGGGCATCGATCAGCCTCCCATTGTATCTGTACCAGATGGAAATTCCTCCGGTACAGCTATTGAAGGCTTCACAAACTACATGGTCGGAATATATGTTAAATAATGTGGGAGCCAGAGGACATCCCTGTCACACCCCAAGGTGAATAGGGAATGACTCTGACTCCCGGCCACGTAGTTTTACCCGGGCCCGCTCACCATCATGAATGTCCTTAATAATCATGAGCAGTGGGTCAGGGACTCCGAAAGCACGAAGAACAACCCAGAGCCCAGGCCTACTGATGGTATAATAGGCCTTGACCAGGTCAATAAAGCAGAGATGTAGGTCTTGTTGGAATTCCCTACACCTCTGCTGTAGTAGACAGACAGAAAATATGGCATCTGTGCAGGACCACCCTTTCCTGAAACCACATTGGGGCTCAGCAAGCCTCTCCTCAGCATGCCTGGCAAGGCGATGTTGAATAATCCTTTCCAGGACCACTGAGGAGTGAGATTCCAGGCTGAGGGATTTCCCCTCCTCCAGGACCTCACAGAAATGCTCAGCAAATCTGCAAACCTGTTACTAGGGGTCGGAGATTGGGTCACCGTTCTTTCCCCTAATGATGGAAATAGGTGTGGCGCTACTTCACTTCCACGCCCCCTTCATTCTTTTGTTCAGAAGAAGAGCCACTCCCTGTTGTTTGGCAGTCTCTTGTCCCGAGCAGAGGACTGTCCACCCCTCATGGTGGCAGGAGCCAGCCGGTCCACCGGACCTCCTGAATACCACAGAGATCCAGGCGGTACCAGTCTAGCTCCCGACAGAGGAGTAGCAGCCTCTCCTCCGCAGTGAGCATTCGACGTGGCAATCCGTAGCGGCTTTTTGTTGTTTCTGGAGGAGACCCGAGGGTATAAGGATTCAGTCTCTTGGCTCCACCAAATGGGGTTTTGCCAGGAGACGTCATAGACGCCTGTCCCCCCCGGGGCCTCCGGCACAAGCTTAATAATTTTTTTAACACGTAGTTTGGTGGTAGTTATTTGAAGGTGGAGGGGTTACCAGCCCCTCGCACCCGTCCAGAGCCCCCATTTGGCTGCTATGGTGGTTACAAACGCCATGAAAGGGAAAGGCCAATCTAAATTCCCCCCCCCCCCACGGAACTGCCCACCACAGCGTTGCCGTCCGGCACCACGAGGAGGTAGGGGATTGTTTTTGCCGGACACAGAAACACACACACCGACACACACTGACGTACAAGACAAAGACCCCCCATATAGCCTTAACAGACGATTGGGGCAAGTGCTGTTAGCGAGCACCTATGAAGGCCAGAACGGCATACGAGGGAGTGGGTGGCCAGCACCACGCCGGCTGCCTTTGTCTCCTAGTTGCGAAGTTTATTACGCACCACACCAGGTACGCATTTGAGGCTGAGTCGACCTAGGGGAGGCCCAGGACCGGTTCAGATCATCGTCACCGATGTTGGCCATGAGCGGGAATCGAACTCGGGTAGCTGGGTTTGTAGTGCAGCGCGCTAACCGCTACTCTACCGCTCCCCACACACTGATGTACACACACTGACACATACACTGACACACACTAACATACACACATACACACAGACTGACGTACACACACTGACATACACACACACTGACGTACACTGACACACACAAACTGACATACACACACACACTAACATACACACACCCTGACGTACACACACTGACACATGTACTGATGTACACACACACACACTGACACACACACACATTGACGTACACTGACACACACATACTGACATTCACCGACATACACACACATTGACACACACCCACACAACGAATGCCCTAACCACGCCCCCCAGACCCCCCTCCTCTTAGTTCAAAATGGCGTCGCGCCCCGCGCGGGGGAGCGGAGCTTGAGGCGGCGTCAACAACAACAACAACTGGGGACGTGAAAACAACCACAACTCACGAGATAAAACTCTCAAAAATACGACACGAATACCGCCCGACGCGGCGAAACTTCGCCGGTCGGAGGGTGCTGTCGCTGCAGAGGTGAAGAAAAATACGAGCGGGATAAAAAAAATAAAAAAGTCACAGTTGGGTTGCGGCGATAATCAGAGGGCTCCGTCGTCGGTCGGGGCAGGCTTGGGCCTGCTCGCTCCTTTGAATGCATTAATTACCAGTAAGTTTCCACCAAATAATCGGCGAGTCGTACTCATTTGGCGGCGTTAATTGACGACTCTAGTGTCGAGCCCCTCGTGTTGTGTTTCTTTTAGAGGGGGGGGGGGGGGGGATTAAAGTTAACGTAGGCCGCGTGCGCGTTGTTGGTACGTGACCTAGATCGGTTGGCGCGAGGCCTTCGTCTTTTCCGTGCTTCGTGGCGACACTTTTGAGGTCGTTCGCACTTTGTGCTCATCTCTGTGTACGCCGGCGTTTGTCGTAGCGATGACCAGCAGCGTTGAGGCGTTTCGAGTGTTGTTTTTAAAAGATGTGTAAAATGATGCAAGAATTCGCTGCTCGTCGCGGCCCGGGGTGAGAGATCTGTGAGGTTGTTTTTATGTCCACGCGAGCGTTAAACACTTGGCGATATGAAATAATAATTATTAACGGCATTGTCATTTCGTGTGTGCCTCGTGTTGTTTTTTGTTTATAAAGCTCGTCGTGTGCGAGATGCGAAGTGTAGATTTAATTACGATTAAAGGTTTCGATGTGACGCATTGACGCGGGACTCGCGGGCGTTGTTATTACGCGCTCCGTTTCCTTGCAGCGTGACATTAGTTGTCACTTACGAGGTTGCTAGAGTTTACTACAACTGTATTCTGTGTGTTGAGTTGTGTGTGTGTGTTATTATCTGTGGACGATTGCAGTCCCGAGGCGACGACCCCGAGTCGCAAGTTGAACCTAACCTGGCATTATTAGCGCGAACTTCAAGGCAGATGTTGATGATGATTCTAACGGATGTGTAGTAACATTACCTCATTTTAATTCCAATTGGCAGTCCGCTGCTGGATGAGTGCGTACACCCCCCCCCAGCCTTGCAGGTCGCGATGTTTACTTGACCATAACTTCATGGTCAGTGTAGGTTGGTGAAGGCGGGGGCAGGCACAGCTGTACGTGGGAGCATAGAAGTATGGTGCAACATGCATTTTGCTGCACTGCGCTCAGTGCTGTCCGCAGCGGCATGTGACAACCTTGTGGATATAGATAAAGAGTGGTCACCCATTCGAACTGTCAAGGCTCTCAAACCTATAGCTTCCGTTCCGAAATCTGACGCGTTGGGGTGAATTCTGGGTGGTCTGGTCACAGGCAGTGATAGTTATGTAACCAAGAAGACACGATTGAATGTGAAATCGGTGATTATTGCGGGGTAGTGGTGGGGGCAAGTCGGAGTATCAGGAGAGTTGGGGATGATATGGGTTCTATGAACCCATTTGCTGTACTGCCGTGCCCTGGCCACCGCATAGCCCTGACATCATCATACCTGCCCCCACCCATACGGGTTACCCGTATTTCTTGTACAGGGAAATTGAGTAGAAATATTGTTTGTGTTTCTCCCTTGTGATGGGACTTTTGTCGGATGAACGTTGAGATTTAGAAGGGCCATGGGGTGACCAATATGTCTGATTTGGTCTCTAATAAGGTAGGACACTGATGAGGGGTTGACAGGTTTGCGACACGTTTGGGAGTTTCACAAATCTCTCCGCGATTTAAATAGCTCTTGCCAACACAGTGCTGAATCACAGGTTTAGCAGTAAAATATTGTTTTTTCCCCCTCCTTCCTTACTGTATGCGCGCGTACCTTATAACCAGGTGAAGGTCCATTGATACTGAGTTGAAGGTGATTCGCGATATGATCGAACACGTGTCATCATTTGCCATTGTTAAACGACAGTGGTAAAGCCGAGTCGATTATTGGACACTTTGGCAATCGATGTTGAGTGTCAACTTGCGAGTCTGGTGGGTGTGAATACATTCCTGACGACTTGCCAAGGGGCAGGCGGTCTCCTCTCTTGATCTGGAAGGTGTGTAAGGAAATCCCTAAGCCTTAAGTGCCCACGGGGAAGCACTTCGTAAAGGGAGTGTTGGTGGTTACAGAGGACTTCGAGTACAGTGTAAGCTGTTGCTTCATTCGTTTCTGTTCGGGGCAGTCGAGCACTTTTCTAAAGAGAAAAAAAATCATCTATTTTGTTTGCACAAGGATTGTATTATCGGCGGTGAGACAAGATTAACATCTAAAGAATCGCCAATTGCTAGTACAGTATTAGCTCATAAGTGCATTATTCATTGGAAACGTTTCAAAGGGTTACTTCCGTCAGCTTTCGTGAGGGTAATAACTCGTGCACGCTGTGCCTTTTCATGGCCTGCTGTAATTGTGAATGTTGCGCACTTCGGAGGCAAAGCCGGTTACATAATATATTTTAACACCCGGCAGTTCTTTTGAGAGGACTGTCCCCTCTTGTAATAATGGCTAAATTAATTTGGCTGTGGCGTGATCGTCACCCACCCACGCAGTTGTCACAGTTGTCGTAACGACGCAAGCACATTCGACCCGCGATGTTGTCAATGCGCATCATCACCACCACCACCACGGGGCCAGTGGCCATCCATTTGAGTACGTACGCAAACATCTGTCAACTTGACCCCCCCCCCCCCACCACCTATAGAACGGCCGATATTTAATCCACGCAGAAAGGATCAAGGATTAATAATATTAAAGTGTTTAAGCAAACAGTCCACCGCCGGCTGCATTATTATCCATCTTCCCCCCGTTTCCTATGCGTACGTAAATTGTCAGTAGACCTCCCACCCATACGCAAGCGTACGCATTTGGGTTAACCAACCCCCCCCCCCTCCATGCGTACGTACTAAATGGATGGCCCCTCAGGTTGTTGTTGGCAGTCGCGAATTAAGATGACGAATGTGTTAACCGCCTCGCATTGTGTCTTTTTGGCCAAGGCAAAACAGCACCGTGCCCGCTCAGCGCCGTCTTATAATGGATGGGGTTTGCCACCTCGCGAGAAAACTAGACATCTTTGCACACCTGTTGGGAACGGAAAGTAGAAGGAAGAAGTTAATAAAGCATCGGTATATACTATTACATGCAAATTTAAAATTGTTCATATTGATGCCTCGGAACAATGCAGTGCCGAATGTGTATTGATTCCCTCTCCTACTTCAGCTGCACATAGACTTTTCATCTGGGCTCTTTATGGAGGGATATTTTGTATAAGATTAATGTTGCAATTGGAACTTTATTAAAACGCCCACCTCCGAACGTGTGCAACAATGGCATTGTGAGAGTTTAATAGGGCTTCCAAAGTGTTGTGTGTTAACCCAGGGAAATTGGCCTGCGTCTAAATTAACCAACACGCCTTTTTGGTCAACCTGTGCGGGCAGCTGCCTTGGCTGCGTTGTGCAGAGTTCACTCCAGTGCATCGTCCACTGCCTCGCAGAACCATGTAAACATCGGGCCCCAGGGATGTGGTAAAGTCATCGCTAACGTGTTGGAATCGTTGAATTGTATGAGTTGACAGTAATTCATACCAAAAACAAGCCATTTTTACGTGTGTATTTCGGCAATGAGTCATAAGTGATATTCGAACTGGTTCTAGGTGCCCCTCACCCACCTCTCACCAACCTGCATTGACCATGGTGACGTCTGGTCAAAAAGCCGACATGACCATACGGTGTTTTGGAGGCTGTTCACACGGCAGTTTATTTGCAGTGTTTTAAATTATGAATATTACATACATGGAAGATCAAATGATCTTGGCGTTTTTCTTGAAAATTGCAAGGCTGCACTCGCTGATAAAAGTGTGCTTTATTTTCAGGTTATATGATAATGTGTGTAAACATGGCCTCATTTGAGAGATCAAAATGCTGAAAAAAGTGCAAAGAAACCCAGTTAAAAGGGAGGTGACATTTGATTGTTTTTAAAGGGCATTGCACTAGAGATTAAAGCACTGTGGGAAGGTAGGGGGCAGAGGAGGTTCCAGAGTTTGTGAAAAGTTGATCGTTTATAAAAGCTTATAGATTTGGTTGAAATGTCATGCTTTAAGTAAATTAGTCTTATGTTGTACTTTGGTTTTTTGGGAACCCACAGAAGTTCTCTGGCAGCTGTGTTTGTGGTGGGCTAAATACCGCATGGGTTTTGCCCATTTTTAAAACTGTAATTCGAATGAAACTATAACCACATGTAGATTTTGTGGCTTAATACGAAGAGGAATGTCGAATTTTTTACATTTTAATTATGGCAGTGGCGCTTTATTATTCTTTAACTGTGTTACACTCTGTCCCTTGCTAAGTAATCACACTTTGGCCGCTTGCCATTTTTATTGAGCCAAGATAGGAGAGCGAGAGAGAAGATTGGAATAGCGGGTACTTTGTAATCTCTGCATCAGTGTTTCTTAACATTTGGTGGAAAAAAAAACACGTTCGTCATCAAGGATTTTTTTTTGGCAAAATGTTTAGTAACCGGCAGTGTTGAAAAAAGAAGTTGATTATTAATTATCTTGTAGGTTAATTAAATAGAAAGGTGGCACAAGAATAATGGCCAAAAAAATTGTCCCATTGGATTTTTAGTGATAGCATATTTGTCAAAAGCCCCGCCTGTAGTTTTATTTTCAGTGTGTGTAAGGGCACCGATAATTGTGTTCTTATAATTAACTTGCATACCAATTTTTAAAGCAGAACTTGGTTTTAAACGGTGTACAATTATAAAGTAAGCGACGATGATAAAAAAAGTGTTAATTTTCCCTTGCTTCCGTTTGCACCGGTGAGGTTATTGGCGATAATAGCCTCTTCCTTTTGTTTAGCTCGGCGGTCGTAGGTGTGTTAGAGTGTTACTCAATCGATGGGTGGGCGACTTCAACGGATCCTTTCGAATTGTATTCCACTCTGCTGCAAGTGCAACATTTTTACTCCCACGTGCACGCACCCACCCACGGACCCACACACACCCCCGCATCGTTGCCTGTCGGAACTCATGAAGTTACCCCGGGAGCAGTAGACTGTAAAAGGTTACTAGGACCTTGAGATCCTGGCACGTTTACTTAAGTGAAAGGGGAGCGGTTTCTCTCGTGTCTAGGGGTGCGACTGCCGGGCACTCTGGCGGGCATTGACTGCCTCCTGCAGGATTCCTTCTTGTGCACGCTTGGCCACTTCCCCATGTGTGCCTTCATAGCCGAGTTAATTAGGCATGAAGGCTTTCGGTCTATTCTGACGGACGAACGAAAATCGGGGCAAAACCTTGGGAGTTGTGCGTGTGCGGCCGCGCAAGCGCATCCGGGGCGAGCACGAGCGGACTTTGTCACTTTTTCGTTTTGTTTGCTCGGGTGTGAGGGGAACGCCTCCATGACACGTGTTCGTGTTGCCTGCTTAGATGGGCCTTTGTTCAGGTTTTATGACACAAATATACGTAGGGATGTGTGTATGTTTTGCTTATTTAGAAGGGAGGGTAATAACGGTGTTGATAAAATGTAGCAAAACAAAATATCAGCTGCATGAGTTTTTAATCGGGCTAATATTACGATGTTACAGAGAAGGGGGTTATTGCCCCTTCTTATGCTTGCAGATCAAATTTTAAGGTCATGACTTTATGAGAAGAGCACTTCGGCGCTGTCGTAATCCAATTGCTCGCGTGCATAATACAACATCGTTTTCATTAGTTCCTTGCTCGAGTCTGCGCACTTCTTCCACAGTGACAATTGCAAAAATGACATTTGGCTAACAGGTGCTACAGGATAGGCGGTCAATAAGTTAATTGCAACTTCAGAGAATTCTCCACAGGCCATTGTTAACGAGCTACTTTATCTTCCCCCTCCCCTATTCCCAGGAAGGCGTTCGCAGACGGCGCTGAAGCCATGAGGCAGCTTGCGCCCCGGAGGTGGTAGCGTTCCACGGAGGACATCGCCTACGAACGCCCCTCCCGTCCGTCCCGCTCCCCCTTCCCCTCTACCCCACGTCCCCCTTCACGCCCAACACCCAGACCCGATAAATAAATGTCCGTACCGGGCGGTGTGACGACGGGAGCCGCCAGCGCCGCCGCGCCGTCACCCGGGGTTGATGTCCGGCGCTTGCCGCCGACGCAGCCCAAGCCGGCACTGACGTACGCCGGTGCCCACCAACCTGTGGTGCGTAGGACGTCCCCCCCCCCCCCCCCCGTCCTGCATGCACTGCCCTCTTCTCTACAGCGCCACCGTCGTTTTTCTTGTTGTCGTGGTGGTCCGACGGGAATTTAAATCATTTATGCGTTAGCTCTGTCCGGCTGTCCATCCATAGAGGGGGCGGGCAATATATTTACGCGATCTAACCCAAAAAAACGTTGACGTGGATGATATTCGTCGCAAAAGCCTACGCATTAGGCAGGCAAGATAACTCTCGGAGAATGACCCCATATGGATAAAGCTGTAGTGTAAAGTTGTGTTGCTTTTGAAAACAGGCCAAATTGATCAAAGGGTTGCCCAAAACTTAGACAGCATAACAAAAATAAATGCCTGAAAATATGCAAGCGTGATCTGTCTTGACAGCTCACCAACTGGTAATGACATTTTTCGAGGCCAAACACGTATTGGAAAGCGTTACATAATTATCCATGCATACTTATTTTTTTTTACCTGTCTGATTTGTTATTGTAAGCTGAGAAGCGGGTAAATATTTCTAAAGGTGCGCATGCTTGGAATTCCATTACAAGACAGGAACACGAGAGATTCCAAACGCAGGTTAGAGATGTCGTATTGACTGTTAAGAATATTAAGTAGGCTTGGACATGACACGTCGCTCGGACGTATGATGGCCGGTGTTTGAGAGTTTATGAGCGAGTGGTGAGGAGGGAACACGCTCGAGAGGATGCCCACCGCAGATATGGCGTTGATGAAATAAGCTTGGGTGTGGATGGCTCGGAGGATAATGATAACTCCCAATTTATTACGTGCAATAAATGTGTGCAGCGCATCACGAATACAAGTCCACGACATGGACACAAATCCGAGGATTGTTAGTCCCCAAGACTAATAGATGATGACTGGCTAATGATGATATTTCATCTCTTACTCAATTTCTAGCTTGTGTCACCAATTGGTGGGCATGATTCGATCTAAGAATATTATTTTTGTACTTTTGCGGTTGAATGTTTTTTTTTCTAACTCATTTGTACATTTCCTTTTGTTACCTCCCATGGCCTAATTGTAGCATCATAACATTGGCATGTAGTTTTCACCAATTGTAAAACCTCTTAACTCGCGGATATTTATTTCGCGAAATTCCGTCGTCCTTGAGATTTTTTTTGACATTTGCATACCAGTTTAGGTTTTTGCACCTTTTCCCCCTTAGACTATTCGCGATTTGGCAACATTGCGTGTGTGCGTGCACCTGAGCCTTTGTGTATCAGTTGTGCCGCGATCCACACGCTTGAAGCTTTTACCGTTCAAGTGCCCGTTGCCTTTTTGTGCAATTTTTGCCTCATTTGGTGGTGGTGTTTTTGTTGTTTAATTTTGACCATGGGGTCTAGGCGTCGAAAGAGTGGAGGAAGTGAGGGCAAGAGTAAGAGACAGAAAGGAGTGATTTGTTTAGCTCAGAAAGTAGAGTTGTTTGAGGGGCTTGGAGGGACTTGTAGAGACTTGGAGAGACTTGCTCTCCAACACAACCCTCATCATTTACACCCTGATCATCATCCAAGGTAATTAAAACTTCCACATTTACAGTATAATTTAATGACGTGTTTAATTTCTTATATTTCGTTGTATTATTTGTCTTTCTATTATGCAATTTTTATTAAGTATATGGATGTTGTTGACGTGTACAGTACAGGATTAACGTTATGAAACATTTTCATTTTTATGTTCAGTCGGACACGATGCCATTTTTCCCCCAAAATACAAACATAGTTTCTACGAATTCTACTTTTGCGCTGATCTTCAAGAACAGAAACCTCGCGGATGTTGAGGCCCCTCCGTAATTGATTAGTGTATGATTGAATGCATGAACCCAGGAATTGAATTTGATGTTTCCATCGTTACATGCCCAGCACTCGGTGTTCAGGCACGCTGCATGCGAGATGGGTCTACTACGCATTGGCCACCAATGAGAAAAAAAAGCAACAGTGATACTGTAGGAATGCATTTCTCGCCATTATAGAAAACCATACATCTTAACCCATCAGTTTATTTTGCTGTAAAATAGAATTGAAAATAAGAACAGCAACGAGATATTTTCCCAAGGTAACCATATGCTGAACAAAATGAACTAAACCTTAGCACAACCCACACAGCGTTGGAGGTATTTTTGTACAATTCAATATCATTTGTTGGACAACCAACTGTGGCGTCGCAGCTAATTTCTGAGGAGCGGGAAAAACACCCACAGCATTTATCACAATCTTTAAATTATTGACAACCATGACTCAATACCCTGGCAGTTATCCAATCCAGCAGTGGATTGACTTGGGGACAATAAATTGGATGTCGAGCAGTGCTGCAATGGTTACATTATCGCAATGAACCTGGTGGTGACCCGAGTTTAATTCCCTGGCCAGTGGTTGCGGGATCTCTGAAACGGGCCTTGGGGGCATGCCCTTTACTGGCACAGATCATCTCCACGACCCCCAAAAAGTAGGGAGGTGTTCAATTCAGCAGTGGATCGACGATTGGTTGTGAATTAAATAAAATAAAAAGAATGACTGCTGAGAATGAAGCTGTGCGGTTATAAAAAAAGTAAGACTGAACTACGGCATCAAATAATACAATATAGCAGGTAATTCTAGATTTGAAGCATTCGTGACTGCAAGGATTCATATTCTTAGGTTTTTTCGGTAAAGTCATGTAGGTAAAAAATTACTTGATACAGCAATCGTGCTGTGACGGTTCCACATGAAGACGGAAGCTTGTGTTGCCTCCGAAACGTCCTGATTTTTATTTTAATTTTACTTTTTTTATTAATTTAAAATTTTTACCTACGTGACTTTACTTAAAAAAAACCCTAAGAATATAGCAGTAATATGAAAACGTATAAAAAGGTAAAAATACAAATTGGAGCTGCTGTGCGGAAACGAGTAAGGGTCCTTGACTTACTGAGTCCAGACCTCATTTTGGGAAAACGCCGCCGTCGGCGTTTCGGCCCGTCAGGAACGGCAGGCGTTGACATGCCTTAGCTCCCAGGGACTTGGCTCAAAACTCCGCCTCGAGGCGGCGGAACAAAATAGTTTTTTTCGGGAGCGCACAAGGGCAGGGAGGGGCAGCAAAGTGGTGGGGGCAGGGGGGGGGGATGCGTTGAAGTTGCTGGGGCTGTGCTGTAGGCTGCTGGTATCACGCGGCACTCCATGTGTCTTTTGTAGTTCTACAGACCGCTCGTCTCCTTCGTCTCTACGCGCTGTTATCACTACAGGCTGTTGGTTTTTGTGTGTGTATGCTACGTGCTGTTATCACTACTGGCGCTGTTATCACTACTGCCCGTAAATGCCTCCTCCGTAAATCGACGTGCCATTATCGCGACGGACTGCAAGAATCTGGTTGCCGAGCACTGGCCCAAAACGGCATGCAGCCAACAACAATCGATCATTTTCTCTCTTCAATGTTGGATTGAGGGAGGTTATAAGTGCGAGGGGAAAGTGACCATGGGAGGAAATTCCTCAGTGGAGTTAGTCCCGGGGAAAGAAGCAGGAGAGAGAAGTGCAGTTTTCCTGTTGAACGTAGCGTGGATGAGACGAAACGGTCTGGTAGGTTGAATGCTCCACATGGGCTGAGGAATCGAGGAGTAAGGTTCATAGGAACAGTAACCATGGTAGCAGCGATCGTAAAACGATCATCAGACGTCTGCAAACGCGTTTTACCCACAGACTTGCATTTTTCTGTAGCATTCGTGCTGGTATCTCGAGAGAACGTGTACATTGGAATTTATATTGACCCGTGTGTTTCCATATTGTACTTGTGGGTATCATTACAGACTGTGTAAAGTTCACACACTGGTATCACGATAGACCATATTCTACGCAACATTTTTAGCTGCAGAGCATGTTTCACGCACTTAAAAGTAATATGGGTGCGCAGTACCGGCTTGTGATCCATAGTTCTCTGCATAGCCGTTTTCCGTTCATTATTTACTTTTGATTTGATGGAGTCTTTTGACCAAGCTTAGACATTTGACCATACTTTCACCAGGCTGATCGGAGCAGGCTGGCGAAGGCGTGCGTGCCACGGGATCGGCTCATTATTATCACTTGTTGGGGATTTCAGCTCGGGTCGCCGATTTTATCGATGCAGTTCCTGAACCACTTTGCCACAGTTCTGCCTTGGGTGTAATAAAACAGGAGCAATTATATGCAATCCTTTGTTGGGCCTTAACGGAGTGAGGGCAAGATCAACAAAAACACAGTCACAAGTGGACACGAAAATCAATTGAATCTGCTCATTTTTTTTACCGCAGCTCACTGGCATTTGCAAATCAATAGCTGCTGTTATTTCTGTCATGAATTGATTTTGATATGAGGCGTTCTTGGAAGCAACTGGTGCTTGAAATATAATAAAAACAATTATTTATTTAGGAAACACCGAAGCTGAACACTTATGCAGCTGGGACATTTGATAATTTCTTTATAATAATAAATGCGTTGTTGTGGGGGCAGGGGCGGGCGATGGGAGGCCGACACTCAGCAGTTGCGTGACAAAGAGCTGAACATTTTTATTATTTTCAAGTGTCAGTGTTTATACGTTGCACTTGAAATAGTGGAATGTGCATTTGTAATATCATAATACTTGCTTAAATCAAGGCAAGAACTCGCCACGTCTCTGGACCTTTTTCGGAGGTTCCTACAATATTGGGCTGCTTGGCTAGTTCCTTTGTAACATTATTTTGCATGACAGAGGAAGCTAGAGTACCTGGATAACAAAAAAAACTCGGTGCATACCAGAGCCTAACATGTTTAAATAGTATAATTCGTCTGTTTTTTTCAGTAGTTTTCGTGCAAGAGTGCAGTGGTTTAATTGCCAGCCTCGTGTGTGGATTCTTTTTGAAATCTTTAACCAACAATTAGGCACTAATTTACAAATTGGCGCTCTGTATGGAAACCTTATTTGTGATTTCATGGGGTATATATATTTTTGGTGCATTTTTTTACATTATAGTTGAGTTTATGGTTGGCACTATATAACACAGTCCTTAACTCATTGCCGCTATGGTTTAAATTGCTGGCGAATTCTATCTTTAACTGCTGCTGGGCTGCCCCTTTAACAATCCTCGTTGACCGGATTGATAAAGTATGATAAAAAACAACCCCCATATGGCTGATAGGGTGTGGGGGGGGGAGCCTTTGTTCAGTGCTGGAAGGGACCAAGGGCCATTAAGTATTCTTTTCGATAATTGATTAAGCTTGGCCTGAGAATAAATGTGCGTCGGCGTTATGTTTTGTTATGTTTATAAAAAGCAGTTTAGATGGCTTAAGTAACGCTTTTTGCTGAAGTGTTCTCCAAATCTCACCCGTTGTGCAGCGCGCGTATTTAGATATACCTGTAGGCATAATCAAACACTAAACACACAATTTACGTAAAGGAACGTTTCTCATTACTTACAGGCGCATGCTTTACTCCGGGGGGCGGGGGTTCCAATTAGCCTGAATAACCACGGCACTGTGCACGCGGCAACATTCAGCATCTGTAACATTACGCAGCGTGACGTGATTACAGTACACAAGTCCCCTCATTGTTTTTCTTAGGTGGTAAAACAGGTTGACTTGCACAGGTGAGATGCTGACACACACGCACAATTTCCTGAGCCGTTTTAGAAGAGCCGTGTAAAGGGCCTGGGGGGGGGACTTTGTGAGGACAAAGTGTCATTTCTATATTTAGTTCCTTGCTTCGGTGACTTGACAGTAACCTTATCCACTGTGGAGTGCTCGTGTTGAGATTAAACGCTTCTCTCAGAGAGCTCCATGAGTTACTATGACCAGTGGCGTCGCCTGAAATAGCAAATCTGTGTCCGTTTCGATTTTTTTTCTACAGTTTGTGAATTTCCCAGAGTGATTTGTTTTCGTGGCCTGATTCGGCAGAGAGGTGCTCTGTTGGTCATTGGTAAAAGTCGACTCCCAAGAATTCCGTCGGGCGTGATGTCATCTTTGGGTTTGGCACAGCAGATACACCTGCCTTGTCTGTATTAAGGGAATGATCGAACCATAAACTATTATTATACTTACGACGTGTACAATAAATTGTATTATTTTCGAGTTATTCATCTTCTTTGAAAATCGATTAAGTAACAATCGAAACGGGCGAGATGAAATGAGAGACAATGCAAACGGCACAAATGAGACGGGACGTAGAGACTGCAAACGAGACATAAATTAACAGCGATTCTTGAATCAAATCACGATCTCGGATTGTGACGGTGCATCACACATCTCTGGTTGGAATGTGAGGGAAACCATAAATCATTACTGGTTTGAATACACGCTTTCACACGTGGATTCTTTTGACGTCTTTGCCGAGCATTTTTGCAATTCTTTAGCTTTGAGTCGAAGGATATTATTGCGTTGAGGTCTTTGACCTGGGAGGTATTTGCCCACCACCGCTCCGGCTATAAAAGCACTGCTGCGAGCGCCATGCCGTCATCTTAATCTTGCGGAGCTGCGCACATCTGGCCTTGCGGTAACGCGGCACAGAGGCATGTGCGCGAGCGGTAAAAGTGAGGCGAAAGGTCATTGCCCCCTGTCTCCCGCAACCACTTGCACCCCCCCCCTTTGCCTCGGATCTCCACCCCACACCGTCAGTGGCTGCCAAAACTCTGGTTTCCTGTTTGCTGGCAAGGGCGTCTAGCTGTGTGGCCCTCTCTCTCTCTGCTCGGCTTGCAGGGCCCACTGCCAAGCCTCGGCTGTGTCAGATTTCACAGCCAACTCCGGCGCTCACGAAAAGAACCCCTAAAATTACAGGCACCCGTATAATGTACGTCTGTGACCAAAAGCAGCACTCTATCTCATCAGACTTGCGGAGTCTAATCAGGGCTGGGACTGGAGAGTGCTCAGATTGGCGATCGTCGTGCATTTTTATGTGTCTGTGTATGTTGAACTTCTTTCGCACTGTATGTAGCCAACCGTGCTAATCGGAGGTGTGGGGGAAGGACAACAAACTAAAAATAAGCAGTTCTAAACAAATGAGTTTTCAATCTAGAATTAAAAGGGCATAGTTCCAGGGGCTTCCTTATATCGGAAGGAATAGCCTTTCCAGACGGGTAGCCAAAAGCCGCTGCGAGGATGACCGGTGTTCGGTTCTTGTCGTCTGCGCTGCAGGGATTCATTCTAGGCTGCAGAGGGCAGTGCAGAAAATTCCGTTGTTGTGCTGTACCTCTATGCTCCCATGCCGACACTTCTCACCTTCGAAATCCCGCACTGGGTGGGGAGGGTGGGGAGGCGTTGGGTAGGGAGGGTGGGGCTGGGTGGGGGGTGGGACTGGGTGGGGGGTGGGGCTGGGTGGGGGGTGGGGCTGGGTGGGGGGTGGGGCTGGGTGGGGGGTGGGGCTGGGTGGGGAGGGGCTGGTCACCCCGTGGTGCCTTTATAAAACTCAACGTTTAACCTACTCACGCCGGCTTGTGCCCGCCCTCACAGTCGGCCATATTTGCGGAATACACCACGCCGCCATTGACCCTGGCCATTGACCGAGCAACCCAACGTTCCTACCAGCTCCCTCCGCAGGAATGTGTTTTCAAAACCATGAGAGATATCCGATGCCTTGGGGAGTGGGGGGTGCCTTCATCCAGCAGTGGAATGATCATGGCTGATGATCTTAATTGTAAATGATTAAACAAATCGTTATGTGGAATTAAGTGATTAACATTTTAATCACGTGCATTTGTCTTAATGTGCACAGTAAACATTAAAAGCCATTCGTTATTGCTAATTGGTTTCAGAACTTGTTACAGCAGGGTAATTGAAAGTTATTATACATGGTAGCTTTAATTAGGTGATTTTAGCGCTTCATATAGATAGATTTATCGCTCCGTTCATTATATAGCACCGAGCCATCAATCCAGGAAGCAGAGTTTGATTCCCGGCCACAGCTAACATCAGTGCTGTGTTGATATCTGATATTGTCCAGTTCCCACTTTCACCATCCTGCATTGACTAGCCAGCGTGGTGAAATAGGGGCAAACAAAAGGCCCATGATCAAAATAGCAAGGGGGGAGGCCTTCATCCAGCAGTGGATTGGGAAAGCCTGTAAGAAATGTTATTGAGGGATGAACAGCGGCGTTTGCAGAAACTGGCTGTTATTTTTAGGGGACACTCGTGTGTGTGTAAATATACCCACATCAATCAAGTGCTTAGCTTGGGCTGGAATACCGTGCTTGGCCGGTGGTGGACCTTCAAAATGCTCTACATATCTCAAATGACGGAAGCGTAGAGAGTGACAACTTTAATGGGGGGGGATTTTTTTTTCGTCCGTGCAGAGAATAGAAATGTCAACACAGTTGCGTTATAGTTGTAACTATAATAATTGGGTACATTTGGTTTTCATGTCGGCCTTTTCAGGCAGGGTTATCGGGCAGGTGCTGGGGGTAAAGTCTACCTGTGGGGGAGTGATGTGGCTTATGGAATCTCGATTGAGTAATTTGTGGGTAGTTTTTCAAATTCTTGCAAATTTAAACAATTTTTTGTTGTTGCAAATTGGGTACATTTTGACCTCGATGCGGCACACAGTGGCCTCGTTTTGAATTACGTTAATAACAAGTAATCAATTGATTGTTAAAACTATTCATTGTTCATTGATACCTCGAAAGATATTTTTCAGTAAGACTTAATCCTGATACATGGCAGGGTTATTGAGAGTGGGCGGTGAGAGGATTGACGGCAGGAATCCGGCTCAACGCTGTCGGATTCAGGTGATGTCATCACCCAGGTGTGCGTGGTGACATCACCTGTGAGCTAACCAGCCAGTAAGGCAGCCAGTAAGACTTTCTAAAAATATAATCGTGTGAAAACAACAACATTTTAGGCTCTTGATCTTTGTTACCAACAATAATAATAACGACATCCTTCATTTGCTCAGGGAAGCCTCGCTAATTTTGAACACTTACAGGATGGTTCTGCATTGGAAATGTTTGTCCAGGTCCATAATGAATGCTTTGTATGTGTGAGGAATCTATAATACCCAGAGAAATCACATACCCATAGAGGAATAACATTCAAATAAACTCACATAAGCCTTTAACCCAAATAACTTGAAAGCCCCCGATTGCGCCAGAGCTCAGGCTCGTGCTTAGATGGGCAGCCACCTTGGATAACAGGTATTATAGGGTAACTGGGTTATGTTGTGGGCGGTAGAGCGCAGTGCAGCAACATCTATTGCATCACTGTACTTCAATGTTTCTCACCATAATTTTTTTTTATGCCGTAGTGGTGAATATAGAAATGTCTCATGGCTGCGTGAATCTGCACGGTGTTGAATAACCACTCGACCAATCTCGTGCAACATAAGCGACTCTTGTGTGCAACAAATTGTTGAAAGTATCACCAACGTGAAGTCTCAGTTTTAATCGATGAATCAATGAATCGTTAACAATCGTGACGATCGCAGTTGCGCGACGCCACTCTAGGAATACACAAACTTGAGTGAGGTGACGGCTGCTTGTCCGAGCGGTTGCGATTAACCGGTGCGGTTTGTGTGGCGTGCGTGGTGTGTGTGTGTGGCGGTGTCGTCACAGAAGGTTGAAGTGGCCGACTACCGCGTACCGCAGCACCAGGACTTTGGCGCTTTCCACGCCGGGATGGCGCGCCCCCAACCCGGGCGCCGGAGACCGTCCCTGCTACCAGAGTTCCACCTCAACCTCGACTGGTATTAGCCATGTCTCCCTCTCTTCATTGCGCAAAACATCGGCTGTCTTTTGTCCCTCTCTTCTTCACTGGTGGGCGTTGACGTGGTCCAGCCGTTGCACGTCAGCTGCTTGTTGCAGAGGTTCGTGGTTTGAATCCAGTGGCCACCCTAATTAATTCGGTGGGTATAATAACTATAATAATATAAACCTTTATGCTTGACTGGAGGTTAAAGGGATCCCCTGATGTCATTCGTAAGAGGTGGCCATTGTGTGTTTGCTTCTGGATCCAAATTTGTCAAATTAGAAAATTAAGAAGTTTCAAGTTTATTTTGTTTAGGCTGCCGATAACTCAGAGACCGGGGTAGACTCTTCTGCAGGGATAATTTTCGATATTTGGCAAATTTGCCTCTGCGAGGCGCTGCGATATTGGCGGCATTTTACCAGCGCTGTGGTGACGTCATAAAAGAAACGAGGTTGCTGCTTCTGTGTTGGAGCTATTCATGTGTCTTTTACCCATTACCCTCCCCCCAACCTGCCTGGACATCCCCACAGATGCTATTCTTTATACCTAATTGAAATGAGAGTGTAGAACTACAATGTTGGCTATTTCACTTATTTCAGTGTGTCCCTGTGTGTGTTTTCTAATGTAATGTTTTGACAAATTGCATTGCAACAGAACACGCAATCGGATTTATTTTAAAGTCTAATATTACATTCTCTCTTAACGTGTGAATCTTTTACGAACCTAGCATTGTTGACATTTAAAGGACTACGCCATTGGTCGCTAAAAACCTAACATTTGAAAAGCTTTCATGCAGGTTAATTATCAACATTTTCAGGTTTTATTCCATTTTCTTTGTTTTCCACATTCCGAGAATTACACTGAGAGACAGACCAACGCTTGGATATGACAACAAACGCGAGTTAGCGACGTCTTATTGATTGCCCATGAAAGTGAGTGGCCTTGGGCAGGAGACATTGACAGAAGGGATGAATGGTGAGTCATGGTGAACAACTGAGTGGCAGCCAAAGGAGGAGAACACCTTGCCTGAGAGGATGACCACCAGGCAGATGGAGCAATGAGATCAGCGAATGTGCTGGATTGCTGTATCTTGAGAACGTGAGAGACGGTGACAACCAGCCATGGATAGAGCATGTCCGATGATGGACCTCCGTTCTTGTGCACAGGTCGCCGGATCAAAGGGGCCGGTTCGAAGAGCCGCCCTATTTTTCTCCGGTGGAGGGAGACCTCGGAGTGAAGCGGCCACGCATAGACATGGGGCTAGAGGCTTGTTACCCCTGCCCTGAGCCGTTCCACGGCCGCTCGGAGCATCCCGCGCGCCAGGTGGAGGTGAAAGAGGTACGATCGACACAGTTCCAGGCACGATTTCTCCCTTCCACTAACCTCATCACACCCCGCCCCCCAGCGATTCGAGAACTTGCCAAGGTTCAGGATTATAAATCAATAAGTGATTCTTTTTAGCACCAACGTGAGTGCAGTGATATTGTAAGAGTGCTATGGTGGGGCTCACCACATTAAAGGCACTCCCATGTTTTTCTCGTACAGCTCACGATTATCAAGGGTAATGATGGGGGGGGTTAGGGGTGGGGAGGATTGATTGTCCAAGGAGTGGGCAGGATTGGTTGGCCAAGATGAAACTTACATGTCCTAGGCGATAAAAACATGTAGTGTTTACCTATGTAGAATGAGGGTGAAGATAAAGAATCTGCCATCTGTTTTATTGCTTCTTAAAGCAATCCGTCTACTTGACAACATTTGCAGTCACCTGAGTTCCTGAGTCACTGGCCCCCTATGGGTGGGGAGCAGCTAATAATATAACTAGTGTGAGGTGTGAAGATCTTTATTATTGTGAGCACAATTCCACAAATCGGCTTTATTGTAACTCTTCATTCTTGATTTAAGCTACAAATGTATGTAAGCCAACCTGGGACACATTGCCTTGGTATTTATCTACAAGATAAGAGCTGTTTTATCTTGGTACCAAAAACAAATCGGTCTATTGGTAGTGCATTAGTGCCGAAATTGTTGCTGTAGAAATTTTAAAACAACTGATTTACCTCCGAAACCTGGTCCGATTGCCCCCAAGGTCCAGGCTTAACCAGGCTTCTAATTTTCCCAGTGCATGCTAAGCCCCTCTTTTTCTTTGTCCTAATGCTGCCCAGCCCACGGTTCAACGGCACGAAAAACGGTGACGCGACACGCTTGCCTGACCTAGCGGCCGTAACTCGGTACCGCGCGCTGCCGCTTTAGACATCCGATCAAATTATCAGCCCCGTCTGACAAAACGGGCACTCCAACGGCACCGATTCCCACCCACGGGCCAGATGAGCTGATGTGGTCTATGCGACTGAATCACCACCCACACAGTGCATGGTGGAAGGCGGCCGTGTCAACTCTTCGGGGCTGACCCCCCTATGGGGTGGACCAAATGTCATTCGAAAGGGATTTCCGGGATGGTAGATCTGTGATATCCATTTCCGTGGGCGCATGCTCTTTTAACACGAAGAGGGGGGTGCACGGCTCTGTGAGAGATCCGAATTGATCCTCTTGTTTCATGACGGGATGCCGATAACACAATCGGAGCAAAATTGGAAAATAGATAATTATATACTATGGGGACCTCATTTGCCAGTAAAAATATGATAATTGGTTCTTTACCCTTCTATCTGGCAACAAAACTGACACCTTTTTGCAAGGAGTCATGTTTGCATAGACCGCAATACCTGCAGTCATAATACAAACAAAAGAACATAACTCTGATAATGTGCACTGTCCCTGAAGTTGATTGGTCCACACCCGAGACAGCTTTCCTTCGAGCCTAGTCTCATATGGGTTGGACCAGATGACGCCAAAAGTGCGCCTTTTGGCGTCATCTGGTCCAACCCATATGAGACTAGGCTCGAAGGAAAGCTGTCTCGGGTGTGGACCAATCAACTTCAGGGACAGTGCACATTATCAGAGTTATGTTCTTTTGTTTGTATTATGACTGCAGGTATTGCGGTCTATGCAAACATGACTCCTTGCAAAAAGGTGTCAGTTTTGTTGCCAGATAGAAGGGTAAAGAACCAATTATCAGATAATTATATATTTGTATATAAATAACACAGGACCAGTGGTTGGCAGTATGGACGAGATTAACAAGGTTACAAATGCTGGTGACACTTTTTTTTCTAAAACATAAATACATTTATCTCTGTCATTTTTGGCCACAATCTTGGTAATTATTTCCAAAATAAGATCCCTGGTGTTTTGGGTTGCGCTTTCTGTTTCTGTTGCAACTGGCTTGGTTAGAGGCTGTCGTCTTCATTAATGAGGTGAAAGTTGTCTTGTCACGGAAAATTCCGAAATCTTTGGAGTAATACAAAATATGGAGCTGCTGTATGTGTAAAGATGTATCCTTTCACGTCACGATTAGATGTATTGTAAGGATTCAAGGCCCTGATTTGACAAGATAATTGATCCTTTTTTGTCACATGGTTAATGTGGAATCTATAGTGGCTGCAGGGTTCGTGAACAAACTACAAACAATGGAAAACAATCCGTTCCTAAACAGACGATTAGATGCACGTGTAACAATCGATTTTAATAGAATCGATGCATACACGCGTAAAGAGTAATTAGTAAACATTACAATTACGCAATATTTATCAATGCAGCCATGTTTATAAAAAATATTTTTCCTGTCGCTGTCCACCAAGTTATCTCTGGCCGAGCAGGGTCGTTGCCGTAGTAGCTCCAGTTTGTTTCGGCAAACTGATAATTTGATCGGATGTCTGAAGTGGCAACGTGTGTAACCGGGCGCTAGGGCAAGCGAGGGCGTCACGTTAATCGTGTCCAACGTGGCTTGGCTCGTCTCTCCGCCCTCGATTGTCCGCGGGGGGGCCTTTCATGGGTCAAGAGGGGTCACTGTCGGGTCTGTATCTCTAAACCGCTTCCCGTTTCCGCCGCACGACACACACGTGTTGCAACAAACGGAATGCTGAGAAGTGTTGGCGCTTGTTCGGATTTATTTGAAGGTGGGACTGGCAGGGGAGATAAAGCGTTGTGGATTTTTGATGTTTTGTAATTGCCGATGCCCTTTCATGTGGTCGCTTTCAGTTATTTCTGAAAAACAGACGAGATAATTGCATATAGGCTAATCCTTCGCATTGCAGATATACTGCAGCCTAATTACGCTACTGGCTGATGCCAGTGAATGAACATTTGACAGGCTGTTTCATAACTAACCTTCAAATGTTCGTTTAATTATTTTTATTTACCCTCCCTTAGCAAAGGAAGAGTTTTATTTAGAAATTTTTTTACTTTTGCAAAATAAATTACATTAATGCCTTGGCGATCTTGACGCAATTAAGTAGGGGATAAAAAAAATCAACAAATGCAGAGCAGAATTGGTACGTGTTTTAAAATAATTCTCTCTGCGGTACAATAGAGCTCAAAGATTAACAGCAGCCCTCTTGGGAGTTACTTTCCACGTGAACTGGTATGTCAGCAATTGCAACATCATGGCCCCTGCAGATCCGAACAGCATTGCCACATTTCAACGATGATGCATGTTTTTTTTTCAACACGAAAGAATTGGAAAAGAGAAACTGTGTGTGGTGTCATAGTTAACTGTGTGTTTTTAACCCTTTCCTGACCCACTGTCCTTCCTGATTGTCTTGTGGCTTGGCACTCTCTGGCCATGGGGGAGGGGGATAGGGAAGAAAAGGTTCAGAACGTATTGCCCTGACCCCAGTCTCTCCAATAAGGGCATCTTGTTCACGCACAGGAGGAAAAAGATTGCCCCAGAACTCAAGATGTTATTGCTGTTTCCTCTATTCTTTGTTGTCATGGATGAAGTCCTTTTGAATTTTGTGGATGTGGCGATGAACCGTCACAGTTATCGGTCACGATTAATGGAATATAGATATAAATAGTTTTTATTGAAAGGCATGCCAAATACGTGGTGGTGTAGATACATCTATAACAGTTTCAGTTTTAAATCTTGGCTTAAAGCTTTCGTGACTGCAGGAATACATATTCTATGGGTATTTCGGTAAAGCCACGTAGATATAAAAAGAATAAAAATATCACGACGTTTCGATCGCAACACAAGCAATTTGCCTGTGTTTCAGTTTGATATAAAAAAAATCGGATTTTGGCTCTTGGGATGTTTTTAGAAAAATGTAGGATTTTTTCTATTTTCTGATTATGTAAAATGATTGCAATAAAAAAAGTAGTTGATTATGCCTTAGATTATAATCTGTATGAATCAGGATAATTTTTTATAAAAAATTTTGATAATATTCAAAATCACTGACATAATTGTCAATTCGTCCTCATGGGAATTATTAGACCATACTTTCACCACACTTACTCATTGTGAATATTTGAAGGGGTGACCCAGGAAGACTTTAGATATCACTCCTTGCTGATGTAAACCGTGGTCCAGAATTTAACTCATGTTCGCCAGGTTCATTGTACAATGCAGTTCCGCGAACCCCTGTTTATTTATTGTATTTATATGTCTGCGTTACACATGAGCAAATGTAGAGGGTTATTCTCATCCACAACTCTGTTGTAATGGACGCCTGTGTAATACAGTAAGCATTGTACGCTATGCGCAGCATTGTCCAAAAAATGAAATCGTAAGCTCTTTTTGCTATTTGATAGCCAGTGCGCGGTGCATTTGGGTTCCCAGGATTATAAACCACGAATGCGATATGTTTTCGGGCTTGTTAATGTCAAGTCACATTGATAACAGCTCTTTGTGGGGTGTGGCGTTGATGGACTTTGTGATATTTATTTAAAGACTTGAACACTAAATATTTGCATGGTGGAGCACCGCGTGTATTGTCCCTCGTTACTTTTTACACGTGTTTAAAAAAAAAACCCCGGCATTTAAGAAAAGCAAATTTTGTGGTGGCAGCTGTTGTATGTCGGCAGGTAGAGGTAACGCTAATGTCATCTAATGTGCTCAAGTACACGAATAAAAAAAAAAATGGGATTCTCGGAATTGGCGTGACTGCAGCCAGCGAGTAGAATTTAGTCACCTCAAAAAATGTTCCCCGTCTGATTTATTATTAAAGGGTTTTGAGTTAATGGACCTTTTGTGTGTCTCACCCCTGTGAGCCTTGCCACGGAGGGTAATATTTTTAGAGACCTACATTTAAAAATGCATTATATTTAAGTGATTTCTGCGGTCATTAATTTGTCATTTGTGCAAGGGCCCCTCCTTTTGAGAAATCCCTGTTATGAAATGGCACGGTTTGTGCTCATTGTTGAATAATTATTATTGTGCTCCTGGGGTATGAAGCAAAAAAGAAACCTGTGGTGTTAAGTGGCTTTGACATTGAACGTAGCTGATTAAACTGTGTAATAAAAAATTGAGCACTGTTATGCCAGTTCTACTGCTAACCTGATTTATTTTCACAGATGAATTTTAGCAAAGCATAGCAACGTGAATCAGACAGTGTTGTTTTAAAAGTGTTTTTATTTGCATTAATTTCCAGACACAAATACAACGCGTACCGTTTCAATTCAATCTTTTAGTTTTTTGGTGTGTACATATGGCTGAACTTGCCTTGCTTTTGCTTTGCAGGGCAATGTCCCTCAGGTGTTTTTCCCAGTATTACGTTAAGCCACGACTGCTAGAAGTATAATTTGTAAAAAATATGCATCGTTTGTAATTGGATTTTTTTTGGAGGTTAAACCATTAAATGATTTGGCCAAATTTGTGTCGTTTAAGATCCCTCTACCACCTGACACAGGCAAACAGGTTCAATTATCACTGTCAACAAGCGTTTTAACACGCCGATTATTACTATTTCAGCTCACCGCTAAGGTAAAAGAACAATTCTCACAACCAAATTCAGCAATTGTGCACGTGATTATTACATTTGTTCGTCTGTGTTGGGTGATATAGGTTGTCTTAATTACACAAATTTGGCCAGATTGTTTCGTGGCCTAACCCAAAATTTCTTGTGGATCATGACGTTGACTGCAAAAACCTGCACGTTGAAGAAAACTCGGCTAAAATAACGCAGACATTTTCTTACTAATTTGGGTGGACCTATGTTTCTAAAGCATATAAATGTGTGGTTAAACCTGCCACTACCCGACACAGCCAATTAGGAAGATTTGTCATATAAACAAACCATGCCAATTAATTACTAGTTTACACCGGTGTGTTGGAGAGTAAACCCACAACAGTTACAATTCGAATTTGCATGTTTTATTTACACGACAAACCTTATTAATTGGCTGTGTCGGGTGGTGGCTGGTTCGACAACACATTTATATTTACACGATTTAACCCAAAAAACCTCTGGTGAAGTATGACCAGATGACCCCCATGTCCTGCATGGTTATGGGGGAGGCCCTCATCCAACAATGAACTTACAAAGAGCTGTAGATGCACATAATGCGTGTTGATAACCAATGTGCTTATTTGATTATTACCCCAACAAAGAATTCTGGAGGGTATTTTTAAGAGGGTGGTTTCCCCAGACAAAGAGTTTGCCGGAAGTCAAACACAATATTCACTACGTGTTTGAGGTGCACTTAATATACGCAATACGGAAGTGAGGTTAAAGGAAGATGCAACTCATAAAGCAAACAGGCCCTTCTGTTGTAGATACGTACATAAGCCGTGTCCCAGGTGGCCTGACACAAGTTTGAAGTTTCATCAGTGAGATAAAACGAGACTTTTAACATCAGTCAGTTACTCCGTTGTAGCGTATTTACTGCATTGACGTATGAAACATTATTTGAGTGACTCTCCGATGTGTTTTTGGGTTGTTTCTGCGCATACAGCCCAAACACACACGCACAGCACAGCCGCGAATACTGAGCCAATAGTTGTCGATTAACAAGCTTCAGGTTAAGGTTAAGTCCCTGCAATTGCTTGTGCACGCACCTTCTGTAGGATGAGCGTCCTATAGAGAGCCCTGCGAGAAGGTATTTTGACCTACCGTTCCACGCTGGCCGGATGACTCGGGAAGAGGTGGAGGGTACCCATATTTTACCCCACCACACGCGATTTGCCGATCGCCCTGTGGTACAACCATTGTTACTGCTTAAGTGGACAGAGCACGGAGGATTTAAGAAACTTGCCCATTCTGGAATCGAGCCGGTGACCTCTGGATTTGAAGTCCAGTTGTGCTAGCCATTTACGACATCCCACCTTTGTGACAACATGAGGTCAGGAGGAGAGTTCGACTTGTTGAGGGGAGAGTCAGGTCAAGGTGAATAGATCCAGAGGTCAACCAGAGTGCCGTAAAAACACACTTGGGTTGGCTGGGGGGGGGAGCTAAATTGTGGATTATTAATTGGCGCTGCGCGGTAAACTCCGACCTGTCCTGATGGCCTGCGCGCTGTGTTTTTTTGCTGGCCGCTCATGCCTGCGCAGAACGTAGCGGCGCTCAGCCTGAAGGTGGAGCCGGTGTCTCCGGCGGAGGAGCCTCCGGACGACACGGACGCTCCGCCCAGCCGCCTGACCAAGGAGGACCTGCTGCACAACATGGAGCGCGTGGATCGCGAGATCAGCAAGGTGGAGCAGCAGATCGCCAAGCTCCGCCAGAAGCAGGTGCGGGAGAGCACAGCTGAGCTTTGCTCAAGCGCGCACGGCCAGGTTCAGTTCGAGTGAGGCCCAGGGCTGTTGTAGATTTTGGAGAGGGCCCCCCCCCCCCCCTCTTTGAATATATACATGCAATTGTTTCTGGGATATATAGACTGAGTGGCATATAAATTGGACGCTAAGCTCGATTGTAATTTTGGTATCCACGTGCCAGGTTTCAGGCCTTATACCGGCTTGTAAAAAGTTAATGCTTTCGTCAAACGACGCGCTGCCTTGACGAATACGCTCGGATGATTGTTTCCTGTGTTTGTGCTTGCACCCCAACTTTTTGTGTTAAAATACGGTGATCACGGTGAGCACGCCTTGAGAAGCTGCTTCAGTGAACACTTAACGAGCAAAGCGCTTACTCTCGCGTGTCGCTCCGGGCCGGATTAGGTTCGTATGCGAAGTTGTTATAGTTTATTCGGGCGGGCCCTCTTCTTGGTGTGTGAATATATATGTGTATATGTGTATATTCACACATGGGGGAGCGGTAGTGTAGTAGTTAGCGTGCTAAAAACCTGGCGACCTGAGTTCAATTCCTGCTCACGGCCAACGCCAGTGACGATTAACTGAACTGGTCCTGGGCCTCCCCTAGGTTGACTCGGCCTCAAATGAGTACCTGGTGCTGTGTAAACATTGCCACTAGGGAGACAAATGTGGTCGGGCGTAGTCCTGGCCACCCACCCCCTCGTGTGCCGTTGCGGCCTTCATCGGTGCTCGCACTTGCCCCAACAGTTTGTTAAGGCTATACGGGGGATCTTTGTCTTTGTGAATATATATGCAATTCTTTCCCATTACTGTTCAACGCCACCCATGCACGGTGCCAAACACCCCATTGTTATCTACGCGCGAGCTATTTCAGTTCCGTTTCTTTTCATGCGACATACAAATTGTAAATTGTAAATTCCACATTCCTATGGCAGGGGTGAGTCTCTCCATAAAACAACCATTATTGACTTCTCCACAAGGTTGTAGTTTTTTTTATCCACCCTATAGGGATGATGGGCGACGTCAACCCCGAACCAGGATTTGAATTCATAATCTTCTGATCACAAACCGCTTGCTCTACTGCTAAGCCACTGGACCAGTTCAAATTACCTATAGGATTTATTTAAAGTGCTATATAGTATTGTGTTTCAATCATGACGCAGTTTATATCAAAATATGAGACCCGCTAAGCCACCTGAATTAATACGGCCATTCGCGCAGTAAGCGGTGTGGTGCAGTGAGACGTCTTAGCCAGTTAACGTTTTATCGTCATTATGTTTTTCGTTTATTATTGGTGACTTTGCATGACCGTGACAAGTCGCACTGTTGAGGGCTGCCCCTTAGGGCGGTTGCTAGAAGTTGGAATGAACAGGTTGATTTAACTCTGATGGTGGTTTGCGGTCGCAGTGGTTGAGCGAGTTGGAATGTCCGATGTGTGATGGTAACCATGTAAGGGTGTGCGCTAAACGCGTGGCTCACTACGCGTCAATTAAAATTGATTTTTACATTCGCAACAAGTGCATGGAATTGCACGTGTGAAAATGTATTACTTACGATCATCTCTGCAAATTACGTGCTAATGATTCGCCGATGTTACAGTTAGTTTCCAGTTTATTTTGTTGAGAACCAGGTGAGACCTGAAAGACTACAGGATTATAGTGTCATTTGTGAGAGTGACACGGGTCACTAAAATTAAAAGAAGAATTCACGTAAAAATTTAGTTCACCAATGAAGCAATTAGAAATCGCAGCAAAAACAACCGTTGTCACAGAATGAGTTGAAAACGGTGCACAAACACAATGTTGCATGGTGTTTGTGGCTAATATTTAGGCCAATAGTGCAAATACATCTTTACAAATGAGACAAACTAAATTTAAATACAAATGAGAAGGTATTAAATGAGCAGACAAAATATTTACTTATGATTGTGACGATAAATATTATCCCTGGGAGGGGATGGCAGTGAATCACTAAATTCCAACTACTCTATAGGCCCATTTCAGGTTAAGTGAGTTTGTTTGTATGACTACATCTGAAGCAGTGTAATTATGTTATAAATTGGGTATATTGCATGTATATATAAAAAAAATACTTTTGATGCCAGTCAAGTCACGATGTATGAATTCAATTGATGTGGAGATGAAAATGGATTTTTTTTTGTTGCACAAAAACGAAATAAACATCAAATTGTATGTGTAAGAATTGATGATGTCCAATTTGTATACTTTGTGCGTGTGTGTTGTGCGATTGTTTCGTGGAAACCACCCTGCAGGTTCATAGAAGACCTGCAGCCGCTATGGAGTCTACGTGTGCCACGATGGTAAAGACGACACATCACTCATTCCTCATCACCCGATTCTCGATCTTAATTTGTGACAATTCATTGACACAAGGAGGGGCAGAATCCTTGCAAGCCTATTGCTTAAGCACGCTGAATTTTTACAGCCCTCTTTCATCGTTTGAGACGTTATGATTTAAAGATCTCAATCCACTGCCGGATGAAGGCCACTCCATGCTGTGCTGGTTGTGGGAGTCGTTTGATAATGTCGTCACCGCATTGGTCAGTACGCGTTGGTGAGGACAGGGAGCATAGAAGTGCAGTACAACAATAGATTTTCCTGTACTACAAATGCACTATCCACACGCATTCTTGGCTTAGCTTCTTCTGAGATCAGGTGCATTCTGGCCGATTTGGTCTTATATAAATAGCTTCCACTTGACTTCAAATCAATTTAAGGTGTAATTGATATTAGTGTAACTTAAACGTGTTGAAATGTATCGCAAATAAATTTTGAGAATTGTTTCAGCCATTAAAAAAAAAAGTTTGAGATCTAACTGGTATTTAAGGTGTATGCACAATTATGAAATATTAAACTTGAAAGTGTTTGTGTATTAATAAGATGATTTGTAATACTTTTCTTCTGTCGTCTGGCAGTGGCTTACTAATTAATCCTGACATCTTAAAAAAAACATTCCTATTGAAGGTGTGGGGTGTGTAAACAGCTCATTAGAGTAACTAAACAGCTGTCTGGTTAACGTTTTGTTTTATTTTCACGATAATTGTCAGAAATATTGGCACGGTGCTTCGTGTTGTGTTAAACCAGGCCGCCTGTCGTGAAATATAAATTGTCATCGCGCATGAGCGATGCCATTGTTTTTTTTCTCCTGTCGGGCTCAATGTATTCTCGTTCTTGGTAAAATACTGACAGAGAATTCTTACATCCTCTTGGAACTCGTTTGAGTGATCTACAAACAGAAGTCTATCGGCTGTCTGTTGTGAAACCATCACACGCTGCAGCGATTATTACATAGTTTGCGCACGTGTGTGTGTCCGCGTGCGACAACTCCGATCTTTATATTACCGGGTCAAGCTCAATATAACTGGTTTGCGCACCTCCGATTAGCACGGTTGGCTACATACGGTGCGAGAGAAGTTCAACATACATGCAGCCAACTCGTGTGCAAATGACAGGGTGAATATTAATGCGTGTCACGTTAAATATGCATCGCTATGTTAAGGCAGCTCTCGCGTATTTATGTTGACGCTCTAATGATATGTTGCATAATGATTGTACGCCTTCTATTGCTTCATGGAGCAATGTCGGTCCAGTCTGTAATTTAAGAGCTACGCCATAAGTTGCTTTTAAGTTTGCAAATTTGTCTTGTGGTTTTGTTCTGATATTTGTATCCCTCATCTTTACTTGCTGTGCCACGGATTAGAAACATTACCGTTGACAAAGGAATGTTGAACAACAGCTGAAACGTTCGCAAAGAGACAGACACTTTTAAGAGGTGCACTCCAGAGGTACAAAGAGGAACACAGGGATAAGAGAGAACCTCTACTCAGCTTCGAGACATTTTATTGACTGTTAAGAGCAGCAAGTGGGCCTGGGCAGGTCAGTTCGCGACAGCGTTGATCAAAACTAATGACGGAATGGCAATCCAAGTGTGTGCCAACTTACGGAGATGGAGTGATGCAAACATCCAAGCGAGCGCTTTTCTTGTCGATACACGCCTCGACTGAATGCCCTGGACCGTCAGGTATGGTGTTGGAAGATTTGCTTCATTAGAAATATCTTTTTAACTGATGCTGGGTGGGAATGGTGCAAAATCTTGATGAACAAAAAACCTAAACGCATTCGTCAAAAGCACCGTGGCCTTAAAAGAAAAAATATATAACGGGCAACGTTTTGGGTAATGGCCCTTATTTGCATGTTGCCCCAAATGTCGTATATTGTATATATTGTTTACGGTAGTGTTATTGATGAATGTGTTTGTCAGTACCCTGCTGGAAGAGAGGGCCTTCTCCCTCCATGCAGGTAGTGGGGGTTATAAGATCCTGCAGGCTGGTGAAAGCGTGGAGTATGTTGTCGCATAGAAGCACAGTATCACTATGAATTTTGTTTCCCTGCCCTCTGCTGGCCACATCTGTAGGTCTACAACAGCCACTGAAACATCTGTTTTATGTGTACTGGTCACCCATCCTGGCACTATCCATGCTCAGCCCTTGCTTGGCTTCCATTTGTATCACAAGATTGGTTGCATTCTGGGTAATCTTTTTCATCGACCGAAATAGAATCAGAATCGGAATCTTTATCCAGGAGAAATCCAATGAGCTATTAAGCTCTTTTACAGATGTCCTGTAGGAAACCTACTGTAGCGTCATGTTAAATAGCACAGAAATGGCACTGCAGTCGCTGGAACATTACAGTGGTGCAATTAATCGCTTTAAAGTGTTTTTTTTAATGATTTAAGCCGTAAACCCTTGCTGAATAGCCCGGGGCACACCACTTGGGTGTGTGTACTGTGTGAAAGACTGGCCACATGTTTTTTTGGGTTGCATCGTGGATCACGAAGTAAAGGCTACATATACGTGTAAGAGGCATGGAGTGGTGGCGCAGTGTTTATCGCATCGCGGCGAGATCCCAGCGACCTCATAAGTGCGATTACTGGCCATGGCTTAACATCAGTGGTGAGTGAAAACTGAGCATGTCCTGGGCCCTGGTACTTCACCGAGCAGCGTGGTGACGTATGGTCAAATGAGGCCTTCATGACCGAGAGGTATCGGGAGGCCTTCATCCAAGAAGTGGATAGACTTGATGTGTTGTGAATTAGGTTATTTTAATAGGATTTCCCATCAAATAGTGTCATGTGGGAGCACATAAAATATGTAAAATGTTCTAGTATGTACTTAACATCCCAAGCAGGAGGGTCTTGCCTGAAAATTAGTCTTTTGAAGCTCAGTTGAGCATTGGTACCATGACACAATACTTGGTAATGGTATGTGAAATTAGGTTGATGCATGGGGGAGTCTCTTATCCAGCAGTGGATTGGCAAACGGGCTCTACATGTCCGTTTACGCACGCACGTGTCCGGTGTAAAAACCGAGAAGCGTAGCTTACGCACTGCGCTGATATTGCAGGCGATCTCGCCCCACTGGTTTGATGTTGGGGGTGGGGGGACATATGCGCTCAATACATAATGGCGTGTTTTTATCCTTTCTTCATTTCCTTCTGATGCCCCCCCCCCTACTCCCCAACCCTCAACCCATGTCCACCCTTCCTCCGCTGCCCTCAGCATGAGATGGTGGAGGAGGCAGCAGCAGCAGCCAAACCCTCTAAGCCAGAACAAAACATCTCCCCGGTGCCCTCGGAAGCCAAACATCGCAGCATCGTGCAGATCATATACGAAGAGAACAGAGTAAGTTCAATCGCGTACCCAAAGATAAACGACCGGGACAATTTGCAGCCGTGGGCACTCTGCTTTTCCGCATGGCTTGTGCGCGCGCATGGAAGGCACAATTTTAGCGCCGCACAGGCTTTCAAATGGATGCGGTATCTACAAAATAGTTCGTTTCTCAGTTAAATTGTTCCACCCTTTTACGTTGCACAAAAGTTGTTTTCCAGCCGGCAAATAGCCAGAAGAGTTGTCGACTGTGGATTTATTTTAAACGCGAATACATTCCGCACCTCCGTCCTAAACCCCGTTGACTTTGCGCCGGCTTGGCTCGCGCGCTAATGCCGCCATGATTGATGATGATAAGCTGTGGATGAGTCCGTTGCACTGCATTTAATCTGTCCGGTGAACTCTAACCTCCTTTACAGCCTTAGAGGGAAAAAAAAAAGGGAACAAAGCTTTTGCCTGAGGTGTCCCACTGCCCTGGGTCTCCTGAGGCCCATAATTGATGCCCCTAACAGGGGGTTCCCTTGCCAAGACTGCGAGGGCTGTCCATTAGTCTGCATTGGATGTGCTGTGCGGCTGGCACTTGGCGGTGTTACGGGTGATTTAAGCTGCGGATATATATTTGATTGTTGGGGAGCGATTGCCGCTACCATTTTGCTTGCTCGCTCACATCTGACCCGGAGAGCGTTTCATCTCCGTGGTGCAGGCGTTGCGAAGGTCATCCGTGCAAGCGTTGTCTTTAACGTAGGGCATGAACTTAACATGTGGCTTTTTAAAAAACATAAAAAAGCTCTGCAAAAAGAAAGATGCCCCTGTGGAATTTTCTAATCTCTTGGCATTCTCCAGAATTTGTCTCGTCAAAGAAAGCATTATTTGAGAGTGTGTGTTTCTCTAGGATTCTGAATGATAGGTCACGGTGTCTATAAAATTTTACTCGAAATTAGACTAAGTGGAGTGCCGCTTTGGTGGTCAAGCATGCGAGATACTTTCTCGGCAGTCGGCCACTGCATTGTGTAACTCCTGAGAATCCTTGACGGTGCTTTTTCTGCAAGTTGCAAAGTTTTTACGTCCTTGATACTCATCTCAGCCACTGCAATTTTGAAACAAAAACATTTTTTTGTTCCGAGGCCCCATGCAAAATTAGGTACATCTGCCAATACATTAAATGTTTGCTTTGAGTTTGGCGGTGGTGGTGGTGGGGGCTAGGGAGAGGGTTTTTTTTCTTTTCAAGGGGGGTGCGGTGTCACGGCACGGGGTGGGGCGTCCAACTGGGATCTCTCAATCACTCCCTGTCTGGCCGCTCCTGACTCTACGCGTAATTTAGAAGACAAATTGTTCTCTTCTCCTGCCGGTCTTGGTGGGGGGGGGGGTGGAAAGGGCGTTGGGGGAGGTGGTCATCTGTTGGGCCGGCGGGTGGAGGGGTGGGCGGGTGCCCGGATGGGCTTTTGGCGGACGGGCGATTGTGTGCGTCTGCTCGGGTCCTTTTTGGGTTGCTTACGCACCGCTTGGGCAGGTGCCTGCGACAGTGGCCTCCGCTTGGTGCACTGCGCGGCCTTGAGGTGCCTCGCTCGTGATGCATCGCCCTAGCCCAGAGCCGCTGGTCCCAAGGTGTTTTCTGTTGTGCAAGCCGAGGGCACCCAGAGAAAGGGCCGTGGTGGTGGTGGATGGGGGGGGGGTGCGGAGGGGGTTCTGTGGGAGATGAGTGATGGAGTGTTTGGGAATGGCATTTTTTTTTAGAGCGCAGTGTGCCTGGTTGTCCTCGAGTCCGCTGTACTTGCTCTGTTTTGCACACTTGAAGACGATAAGTAGGTCACGTGCTCCATCGAGAAGGAATACTTTCCAGCCGTGCAAATGCTGCAGTATTATTATGGCATTTGCAAAAACGTTAAGCTTTTGTTGCTACGGAACTGTTTTAACGGAACTGATGCCAGTGAAGCGCAGGGTTTGATGGAAACTAATCACTTAGGAAATAATACTGCATTTATCTTCGTTCTCAGCGTGATCACACTGCAGTTCATTCTTTGTCATCCTAATCATCGCAGTTGTCCCCTCGAATTATCCTGCGCGTTGTGCGCCGCATCTTGCCGAGCAACGGCGTATTTTTTCAAATTTAACGCCTACAATGCGCGTCATTGAAAGCAAGCCGTGCTCCATATTGCCATTGTCGCCGTGTGCGCCGCTGCATTATTGGAGGAAAATAATTGAGCTCCTAATTGAAAAAGGACCCAAAGGGAGGCAAACAATAGCGCAATTAATTATATAAGTGTGGCGACAAAATGCCCTCGTCATCTGTTCGATAATTTACTGCGTGGCAGTGTGCTATTTCGTGTAAAGGTGGTTACGTAAGGGAGCTTTTAATTTTGACGGTGAAGAATGAGGTTCAGAGGCCTACGGTTTATTTCAATGTTCCTTTGTAAATAAGAAAATTGGGTTTGTTTAGATTTTCCATTACACGAGGAACACATTAACCACGGCAACATTGGCGAAAGGGACCTGCATTTGTGCTTTAATGCTCTGCTTTGAAATCTGACTCGTGTCGAGGAGGAAGGCTCCCAATCCACTAAACCCACATGCTAATGCTAACCCCAACTCTGACCTTGTCCATTAATGCCCAGAATAAATTCCGTCTTAAACTCTAATCCTTAACCTGCACCGTGACCAGTTAGGTGATTGCCGCTTCCCTGTTATGCTGTGAATGACGGATATTGTTCGGCTCATTATCAATAAACTCTTAAAAAAGGACATGGCAGGAAGCCAAATGTTTACATTTCTGTGGCTGTTGATACATTTTCCCCCATTGTGTATTTAATAATAATAAAAATAATTATTTTAAAGCTTTATGTTGTGAATTCTTTCAAAATTAAATGATTTCACAGCCTGCCCGCCTTGTCTATTTTATTTTCTTAAACATTGCGCAACAGAGATGGAGATCAGAATTCCTTGTTTTGGTGTCCACTGGCGCATTTTACAACCACATTTAACGCCCCTGGTGACGTCCTTTCCTCGTGTGCAGATGAGAGCCGAATCTGCACACAAGATCCTGGAGAGACTGGGACCCAAAGTGGAGCTGGTGAATTTGCACGCGCACACACAAGACAAAAAAATATCCAACTGATTGTGAACACGCTGAATGCAATGCACTTGACGTGAAAACTTAATTTGGAGCTTTCGTGACTGCAGGAATCACTTTTTGGTTCTTTCGGTAAAGTCACGTATAAAAAGAAAATAATAAATTAAGTAATAGCATACGACGTTTCGATTGCAACACAAGCAACCATCATCAGGTATAAATTAAATATCTAACAAACCTAGTATGCTTAGAAATATAATGCAATACACCACAGAGTTGGCTAACCTTAGGTAGGGTGTTGACTGTTATGTTAGCCGACTCTCTGTGGTGTATTACATTATATTTCTAAGTATACTAGGTTTGTTTTCTATTTCATTTATACCTGATGATGGTTGCTTGTGTTGCAATCGAAACGTCGTATGCTCTATTATTTAATTTATTATTTTCTCTTTATACTTGACTTTACCGAAAGAACCAAAGAGTACTTGACGTGCTTGCCTTGGCAAGGTGAGACCCGTGTATGAAGGGGTAACATAGGTCAGCGGGCGCAGACAAAGCTGTGCAGTGCTCGACAGAAATTCTTTCGGACTGTGCAGATAGTGATGCTGGTGATGAAACTTGTGCTCTTCATTGCTCTGTAAGAAAAGCTTTATGACCAACTGAGAACCCCCATTGAAGCCACACAGAATATGTCTTTCAAGGTGGAACCTGGATACATTACCCTCCAAAACCACGTGCATTAGCACGTCCTTGGGTGGTGTTGCCAAGCTGTTGTGTGAAAATGATCGAGGCTGTTCTACCGCGTTCCCATGACCGCCGGCTCGGTTTGTGAATCGGGCATGTTTGCTTGTCCCCGGATTCCCTTGGTAGTCTTACCTGGTCAAATGAGGACCAAGTGGGGCCACACGGCTCGGTTTAGCCGGGCTGTGTGGATTTATTTCATGAGGGCGCTGCATGCTTTTTTTTACTCTGAGCGCCCTCAGAAACGGTCGAAACTGTCACGGGGTCAGCGTAGAAAAGATGCGCATGGCCTTTGGTGTGTCTTGCTTTGTTTAACTTCAGAGACCTGGTCTTCCTTAAAATATATATATATTTTAACCCAAATAGAGGTATGTTGGGGTGGGATAGTGTTAACTCATCCAAAGAGATGTATCTATCCAGAGATGTACGTTGGCCACCGACAATGCTGCGCTTATGAATTTTTGGCGAGGTGTTAGTTTTCAGAGTTGTTTGCTTGTTTTTGCCCCCAAAGTAATTTAAAATGTGTTGCAGATTTCGGATTACATGTTAATTTGTACAGACGCTTAAATTACTTTAAAAGCTTGGCAACAGCATGCGTTGTTCTTATAAATTATTTTTCTGTGAATTTTGTGTGTGTGTTTATTTATTTATTTTAACAGCCGCTGTATAAGCAGCCGTCTGACACAAACCAGTACCATGAGAACATCCAAACGTAAGTTTATCATTAATTATTATGCTCAAAATATGCACTCATGTAACAATGGAGCATTTCCAATACACACTGGCGTTTTTCAATGATTAGTTTGTGGAAAGCCTACAATTACTATTGATTTAAAATGCACCACAATGAGGAGCAGCTAATTGATTCTTGAATTATACTGTGACCCTGCAGAGTGACTATTCAACCAATTTACGTAGGGAGGGCATCTTAACAACAACCCTGTTCATTAGAATAACTTGCGTCTCGGATATTTTAATTGCAAGGTGAGGAGGAGGTGGAATTCTAGCAAATGATTTTTGAATCCACCTCTGTGAAGCTTTTGGAGGGTTCTGCCTGCCTATGGGGGTGGGTTATCGGGAATGGCCAATGTAGCAAACTTCCCCGAAAATAGATCAAGGGGAATTATTATTGAGGAAATCATCTTTCCATTGATGAAATATTGCAATTGGTCCACCATGTGTCACATGGTGGAATGTTTCTCCCGTTTGCATATTCGTGTTTTCTCCATGCATTACATTTTTCTCCCATACAAGAAAAGATAATTCAATAAATGCGTGGACAATACCGATCGTTTATTCCAGAACAAACTCTCACGTTCTTTTCTCGGAGTGATCCTGCATTGAGATTTTGGGCCATTTCCTTAAATGAGTGTTTGGCTTCTTACGAGTGGGAACCAAGAATGCCGGGAGGATATCCCCCCTGCAAGATGGATTCATTCATCTTTTGCAAAAGCATGTTCTCGTTAGGAGATTTGTGACTCGAGGTGTTCCAGATGTTTGTGGATTACGGAATTATTCTACGCACGTGATGATGCTTTTAATTTACCGCACCCTGCGACCCGAGTGATGTGAGCCCTGCTAACATCACTGGCGATTGAGATCTAAAACCCAGTCATTGGCCAGTCATTCACCAAACCCCACTGACCAGTACGGTCAAAAACCCATGAGCGGCACGTGTGGGGAGGAGGGGAGGCCTTCGTGCAGAAGGGGATGTTCCACAAAGGGCTGCATGTGGCCGAGCGGTAGAGTTGCGTTCGCCGCTTGTTGCAGAGGTTGACGATTCAAATCCATCGATCGCCCCAATTTAATACTGCGGATATATTAACCTCTAAAATACACGCTGCCTGTTTGCAAGTGGACATTGGAGAGCACGTACTGTAATTCGAAGAAGATTAGGCCATTCGTTTGTTGCCAGCGTCATCGGCTAAATAGAAACAAATATACTCGCACATTACTTAATTGGGAAAAGCATATAGCCGCAATCTTCTAGAAAAGAGTCATGAGGCTGAATGAGGTTTTCATGGGTAAACAAATGTAATAATAATACATAGCACCTTTTTGATGTGAACTTTTTCCTGATCCTTCTTTACTAGAAACCTCACCATGAGGAACAAGCTCATCATGTATTTCAAGAGACGAAATCAGCAGCGCAAGGTGAAGGTGAGGACTTGGAGTCTTGAGTGGTGCATGCCCCCTTCCCGTCGCGAATGAACCACTGGCAACTGCCGCCCCATTCTGTGAGCGCGCTGCAGGTCATTTAAATCCTACTGAAGACTCCTTGACATTGCCTCCGACCACCCAAACTCATCAGATCTAAGAAAGTAAACGGGATTTGAAAGTGCTTGGATGGGCGACATGTTATAGGCTGTGGGCCTATGTGGTCGACAGCAGAAGCCAATACAGAAATAACCAATTGTTGTACTATACTTCTGTGTCCTCGCATCTACGCGACGACCAGTGTGCTGAAGTATACAACTAAACTACATTATTTTCCAGGTAAAGCCCACTGAGCTATTAACTCTCTTCTGAAGCAAAATTATAGCTCATTGAAGCGGCTTATCAAAGGTGGGAATGTGTATGGTAGCTAAATAATCTCAACGCACATTTCCAAATGCAGAGGGAAAAACCAGAGTACTCGTAGAAATATCCATGCGACCACGGGGAGAACATGCAAGCTCCATACATATAGGCTATCGCGACGAGAACCCCCATAGCCCACACGGTGTCGGGGGAGTTCTTCATTCGGTAGTACATTGCCAAAAACATGTACACCTGTGCAAAGTCAAGTTGGAACCCCGTTGAGATTCATTATTCCTTTCGTAGCAGAGACCTGAGTAACCATGGCTACGTATGGACAATCGGTAACGACTGCAGGTTGCACCCTGCATGTGGACGTGTTACCGTCTCGCACGTTTCTCATAGGTACATCGACAAAAAGGACAAGGATGATGATGTGGGGTGGGGGTGGAGGGGGGTGGGTGGTTGGTGCGTGGTTATTATTTCTTTCGTTTTAACACGTTACGTAATGCAGTGGTGGGAAGAAAAAAAAACGCCAAAGAAATGATCATTTTGACAAATTGCTCTCGTTTTACGATGGAAAATGTGGTTTAGCATGAAAAGTGAAACGAAAGAAAAAACCGCCATGGTTTGTCAACTGGAAATGCATAATTTCCCACGGCCTTTGAAGTCGCATTAAACGAGCATGTGATTTTTATAACCATGTAAAAGCAAGTGGGTTAAGCGAACCGAACAAAATAAAAGCCTGCAGTCAGTTTGTACCCTTGCGATTAATTAATCAGCGAGAAAGTCTTCTGGAAAAAAAAAGATAAATTGCGCCCATATTGAACGAGTGTTGAATGGTTCGCGTTCTTCAACGGTGAACCCCGAGCCAGGCGTTTAACGTTTTACAATTCGCACACCCCCCCCCCCCGCGCTCGTTCTAAACACGGTGCGAAGTGCCCCTAACGATAGGCTACGTACGGTGCGAAAGAAGTTAAACATGCATACGTGTACAGGGGTTGGCGGGTGGCGGGCGGGGGGGGGCGCTTTGTGGAGGAGAGGGTGCTTTGGGCTGATGCTGTTCCCTATGAAAGTAAGTTTCATATCCGAGGAGGATGAACGTCCATTCAAGGATTAATTTTCCACTGCATTTTGCGCGACTCCTTTTATCCACGCTGAGATGCGATTAATAAAATGTATTCCTTCCTTCCGGGGAGGTCTAAGATCCCGTGCCATTTTAAGCCGTTAATGAATGCAGATCCTTATCCTTACCACATCCTGATGTTTCTAAGCAACAGATAAAGGGATACAATTGCAATCACTTCTGGGTAACTCTCTTAATCATCGAATAGATGTGGATAATAGGATTTAGTTAGCACTTTCAGTAGACTACTTGTCGGTGACCCATCATCGGGAAGTAAATGGATTTATTGTTTGCTACTCGCGGGTGACTGCAATTATCCGCAAAAAGACACGTAGCGATTGTTCTAAAAAACCATCGGCGGGGGTCATGGACCAACAGGAGTGGCATATACGGAACTGTTGTCGTGCTCACTGGCTCTCTCCCGCAGGAGCAGTTCCTGTCGGAGCGCTACGGGCAGCTGCTGCAGGCGTGGGAGAAGCGCGTGGAGCGCATCGAGAGCAACCCGCGGCGACGCGCCAAGGACGTCCGCACGCGCGACTACTATGAGAAGCAGTTCCCCGAGATCCGCAAGCAGCGCGAACAGAAGGAGAAGGGGCAGAGGTGAGCTCGGGGTCGCTGACGTCGCCGCCACCGCGGCACCTTGGATGCCCACGTGGCTTTAGAGACGTTCTACGGAGTAAAACAAAAAACAATGGTGCTTTTCGTTGTGTTTATTCTCTAACTTTTATCCCGATTGCGCAATCGGCTTCGCGTAACGAGACGAAATCGCAGAGCTGTGCGACACACTTGGGTGGCGGAGAAACGGCCCCCGGAAGCAGATATCACGGAGTACCTTGACTGGAACTCGTGCATAGCACCTGGCGCACACAATAGATGGCAGCACTTACCCTCCCGCTCTGTCGTCGGGAAATATTTATCGTATGATGAGTCGAACGGATATTTTTTTTTCAAACCGTAAATTTTGCCTATTGAAGTGCAGAACTAAATTTATAAAATTCGCTTTTTGTGAAGTATTTGGTTACTGGGTGTGAGTCCGTGAAATCATACAGCTGAAGCAGTACTGCTCAGGTTGTAGGTTTGAATTCAGGCCTCTGCCTGTGGTAAAACTGGATTCATACATTTAGTGAATGAGTAAAATTTGGTTCCCTGCTCAATCTGGCTAAATTCCAGCCCTGAGAATGAAAAACATGAGTTTGATTGCCATGTGACCAACATTCATGTCGATGGCAGAGCAGATGAGAAAGTAATGCCGAACTACTGTAGTGGACCAGAGGTCACTTGAAAGGATTTCCAAGGTAGCTCTGTAACATCTGCGTCCGTGGGCCATTCTTTTGTTGTTTGGTTTATTTTAATTCGTTTAACCAGGTGACAAATGAGACCAGGATACATACTCTTTGGTTCTTTCGGTAAAGTCACGTAGGTAAAAAATAAAATAGAATAATAGATAAATATAGAAATAAAAATAAATAAAAGTCAATTCAATCACGACGTTTCGATTGCAATGCAAGCAATCATCAGGTGTGAAAATCACAGCTAGAATTTTTTTAGTAAATCACAGCTAGAGAATTTTTAGTAAAAAAATTTTAGCTGTGATTTTCACACCTGATGATGATTGCTTGTGTTGCAATCAAAACGTCGTGATGTAATGTACTTTTATTTTAAGTTTTTTTTCTATTTTTATCTCTTTTTTACCTACGTGACTTTACCAAAAGAACCAAAGAGTATGGATCCTTGCAGTCACGAAAACTTCAAATCTAGAATGAGACCAGAATAGTCTAATTTACAAGAGTGACCTGGGGCATTATTTGCGTACCAGTTGTGGGCGATGATTGCTATATATTATTCCATTTGAGTAATGTGCGGTTAATCTTTTGTGAGGGATTCAAATTGATGTCTTGTCTTGTAAAATAAAGACGATAGTGCAATTGGAATTAAATTGGAGAAAAAGATAAAAAGTTTTGGCGACGTGAAAAGCAGCGTGGCACGAAAAGGAAAAAAACTCTAGAAAATCTGCGACATTTTTTAAATGTGTTTTTTATTCATATTGTGGACAAATGGCCCGTTTCTGGGCCAGCTATATTTGGGTGTGAGATGGCCACTGGTTAAACAACATTTTGACAGCATTTTAGTAGATGGGGATTTATGTGCGATTGAACACTTTGAATGTAACCACCTGTCCGCATATACATGCACGCACGCATGTACGTGCACTTGGAGCTAAAACCTTTTCAGGGCTTGTGTCCTCATGGCAGGTTTTTATTCACACGAAACTAATCTTTTCACACGTCTGCTTTTAAAATTGTAAATTCAAATCACACTTGCCCAGTGGAGTTTTGTTGTGTGGGGAGCATTGGCCTCATTTGAGGCATGGTTTTCATTGCCAAAGAGATGATTATTTAAATGTGGCTGGGTGGCACTAGGCCTAGTGCCCTTGTAGAATATCTGATGAGAGCTTCGAATGTCACTTGTAGGTTTTTTTTTCTTTGCTTAGGAGATGTGTGCGTCTGCTGTTGCGTGGTTACAGAATGGAAAAGGAGATGTACAATGTGACTTTCGAAGTGTTTTATTCTTCCGCAACCAAGTCGACTATGTAATGTCGATCACACAATACATCATCCTTCTGGGGGTCGCTAAAATAAATAGCAATTTGTGGAGAAGTCAATAGTGGTTGTCCTATGGGGAGACTTGTCCCCGCCATAGAATTGTGGACATTATACCGCCGGCTCTTGGTAGTAAGCAGGAGTTGAGCAATCTCTTAATGCATTTTTGAGCAGTAAATCACTTGGCCTTTTTTTGCTCATTGGGTACAAATTCTTTAACTGAAGGATAGTGTAACCAACTTGGAAGTTTGAAATAGAACATGATGTGAAAACGTTCTAGATGTAATCAGCAAGGGGAGGTTGTGTTAAGTGGGGCACACGTGCAGGATGGAGGAGGGCAGGTGACTGAAACATGCGATGGAGAGATTGGCTGAAACCTGAAGCCAGATGATGTTAATAGACTAAGTGGTTTGTGAAAGACTTGTTTAACTGGTGGTGATTAGAATGATAGAGTTGTCTTTGGTCCTTGAAGGACATTTTGGCTGTTTAACAAGTGGAAGACCTAAAGCCAGGTAAGAGATTGTAATTGCAGACCTTGGAGGTCAGCTGTCAACTTTGCCACAAACACACAATCGAGCAGAAGAAGAAAGCGATGGTCAGTCGTGGCTACGATAACCTCTGACGTCTGGACCCTGGCCTGCTCGTGTGTTCCAGGCGCAACCAAAAGGGAAACGGATCGGCTGACGGCAGCGACGAGGAGGCTGCTGACACTGGCGACGATCTGTCTGACCAAGAGGTACCACAATGCCGACCCCCGTCGGTCATATTTTATTTACCAATTCAAGTACCGGAGCACGCGAGTTTAAATATAGTCGCAATATCCACGACTTTCCTGGGTACGCTGTACGACGCTTGGTGCCGTGGGCACAGTTATCAAACGCGCTTACGAATGAAAACGCACAAATCCTCAATTTAGGCGCAAGGTTCTGGATGCTAATGCCTTGGCGCGAGAGCAAAAACAATACGGCCGAGAGGTGTCAATCAGTGCCCAGAGAATGCAAAGAGGAGATAACGACCATCAGTGAATGCTGTTCCACTTTTGATCTCCCTCGGTCGGCTATTTCAAAGTAACGACGGCTATAATTATTGTCGTGAAAGCTCTCCGGGGTTGTGCGAGCCCCCCCCCCCCCCCCCTGCCGTACCTTTAAAAAAAATAGTTGTTTGACCTTTTAATCGAGAGCTGTTGTTGTGATGAGAAGTTGAAATGACCCGAGGATTTCTGCTGGGAACAAGCATTGGCTTTTAATGGGTGTGCTGTAATTTGTCTTAAACAAGTATCGTTTCTTAACAAATTAACAAGCAGGGCTTCTAGAATTAGTTTCCCTTTCATGCGTCTCGAGCACTGACCCGGTAGCCGCGTGAGTCAGGCGTGTTTGTGGGTAGAGCTTATTAGCGCAAGGGCATTTTTTTAATTTTCGGCGCTCTTCGCTTGTTCATCAGTCTTTTATGTTAAATCGTGCACACGCCGCTCGCAATGTTAAACAAAAAAATATAGACGATTGCTGTGTTTTTGTCGTCGCAGTTCATGAAACGGATTCAGTGTTATTAAACTCGCTCAATCTTGCTTTGAATTATCTACAAAACGTGGCCGTTGAAGACGTGGCTGTGACAGCCATCGGCGTGCCATCCCAGTTTAAATTAATTGCGTCGATTCAGAAGCCTCGGCGAAGCAAACAAAACCGGATCGATAAATATACTTCGTTAGCATGCCGACGCCTCTGCTCACACGTTCACCGTTGCCACGCGCGCAACAATCCCCCCCTAGTTCCTGCGTTCGACCTCTGCACGCTCGTTTTTGGTTTGCAGCAAGTGTATTTTTACATGTACGTTCGTCACTGAATTTTTGCACGATGCAGAAACACACTTTACAGAATGCTGAAATTAGATTATCACTGCAATTTTTTGCAAATATAACAAATATATATACACAGTCCTATATAAACAATTCAACCCTTTTGTCAATCCACTGCCAGATAAGAGCTTCCCCACCACTGTCCGGGTTGTGTTAATTCACCATACTTCACCACACTGGTCGTCGGTGAAGATGGGGAGCATAGATTTGGTGGAAAATATATTCTGCTGCAGTGCCCTGCAGGCGCCTACGACAACCTGTTATGCATAGCGGTCGCCCTGTCAAAAACAATCGCCGAGCTTTCTCAGCCCCCCACGTGGCTTTCCGAGATCTGACAAAACGTGCGCTTTCCGGGTGATCTGACCGCGGCCGTCGCGCTCGTTGTCCACAATACGAAGACTGCGTCATCGCCGCTGGGGGGTGGGGGGTTCTCTCGAGGTCACCTTGAGCATCGCCCCCCGTTGGCGTTGCGCTCTTCTGACCCCCCAGGGCAGCGAGAAGCAGATGCGCGACCTGGCGGCCGTGCCTCCGAGGCTGTTCGACGTCGACCAGCGACACGTGCGCTTCATCGACAAGAACGGTCTCCTGGGTGACCCCGTGCGCGTGCACCGCGAGCGGCAGCTGCTCAACGTGTGGACCGAGCACGAGAAGGAGATCTTCCGAGACAAGTAGGTTTGCTGGATTGACCAGTATTATTCTTAATCAAGGTTTTTTTTGGGTTACATCGGTTGGCTACGTACGGCGCGAAAGAAGTTCAACATGCGTACATACATTGTATTGAATGTTAAGAAAAGTAAACAGGCTTTGGCAAAACACGTTGCTATAAAGACGCGATGGCTGGTGGTCGAGACTAACGACAGAGTGGCAGCCGAAGGATGAGACACCCGTGGGACTGACGTCCACCGCGGAGATGGGGCGATGAGATCAACTCACATGTAGGAGCTAGATGGATTGTTGCGTGGATTGGTGAGGGAGGGCGAGGGTTTGTGGAAGTCTTCATCCAGCAGTGGATAGATAATGGGTGATGATGATGTCCTCACTGTGGCATTCGCAGTCGGTGAAAGCAATTACGGCGTGTCAAAAAAAAAAGAAAAAATCATCTCCAAATTGTATCGTCGGGCTTTTACGTTGCTAACATATTTTTTGTGAAGTCGCAATAAACCCTAAAACGACAAGAATTTACGTAATTGAGATAATCAAGCGGTCGCCTGTTACACGAGGCTGCGTGCTGTTGTCAGCCTGGATTGCGTTATGCGCTGGTAATGTATCTGGCAAGAGGTGACCATCTGCTCGTTGTCCGCGAGGCGCTGGGAGGGTGTATCATGTGTCCTGTGTCGTTGGCCCCCCCTCTCGGCTTTCACACCGGCATCAGATAAAGCGGCAAAACAAATATTGAAATAACCCACGGGGGGTTTCATTATAATCAATGTCCCCTTAAATACATAGCGTTTTATAATCTCCCGTAGGTCTGTGAACTTTCACCGCCAGGGCCGCCAAAAACCCATCGCTTAGCAGTTAATGTCTTTTAACATGTTTTTAATTTGTAAATTGGTGTGCACGTACATCCATCTGGACTGTTCCCCACGTGTGGCGATGTTTTTAATGTGAACTAATCCCCGGCTCTGCTTTTTTCAGATTTGTTTTGCATCCAAAGAATTTTTCGTTGATTGCTTCCTACCTGGAAAAGAAGGTAAAGAGAGCTATATTTTGTTTGTGTTCTTTACATTGTGTTCTTTGGCATATTGGACGTAGTTTTATGCAGGCTATTTTGGTAGTAAAATTAACATTTTTGGAGAAAGAATTATTACGTAAAACAGCATAAAAAATTGGCTCTTTATATTCGAAAAACAATTGCTGTTTGTAACCATGCCTCCTGTACGAACAGAAAAAAAAATCAGTTTTGTTTGTTTTGCCAGAGAATTTGCTGCCTTGTTCACAGCTTATCCGCGCAACAAGCAAGTCCGTCTCTGAATTCACACAGTGCTTTCTTGCCAAGATTCTACTGCCTTGCTGGGTTGTTATGATACCCCGTCCCCTCCACTGCATGTGTCAGTTTATTGTCACGATTCTGCAACATCAGTCAAATTCACAAACTGTGGGTTTTGTCGTCTTAACCTATTTTCCGAGTGCTGTTTTGAATTTCGTGAACAATGGAGACGTCCATGCTTAAAAAAAAAATTCGACGCACAATTTCCACGCGTTTATTTTGAGCTTGAGAATAGAAACGGCTGTATGTTTGTTTGAGCTCAAGCGTAATCATAATAAACTCGACTTGTCGCAGGTAGGTGACTCTTTCCTTGAAAGCCGGAACCACAAAAAACAAAATCTCTTCTTTTTCATCAGTCTTAGCGTTCACTTCGTCTCATACTCACAACTCTTTTAATATTCCTCATGGCACCAACTTCCTTTGCAGAAGAGAGTCCACGGATATATAAACAACAAAAAAAATCGCTACCAGAAAATGGTAGTAGTCACATGGTTACCCAAATACTTCACTTATTCGGACAGATGCACATTTTTATTAAATATTTCATAATCTTTATTTATAATGAGGATGTTTTCATTTTGGAGCATGCCCTTGCTCACTCGAGGGCAATACCTTGGTGGAAGATGCAACCTGAAAAACAGTCAAAAAACAGTCAGGAGATGCCATGTCCCAGACTGTATAGCATGAGTTTTACATTTTGTTCATGACTAATATTTAGGAATAACATCACGTACCATTCACATATTTGCCCATGAAAGCCTCCCCGAGTCTCAGGACGGTTGCAGGAGGGTCCAGCTAGGCTTTTGCAGGAGGAGGTGAGGATTGCTATCATGATCATAATTTAGTTAATTAGCGAGTAAATTGGCAAATTTGGAACATGATGCCGGCACAATGAATAGCCTACTCTTAGAATTTCTGCACGTAATCTCTCAACGTCCACCGTGAAAAAGATGGCGCGTAATATTTTTGGGTAATGCCCCTGCAGTATTAACCAGGGTAGCCTGCTGGATTCGAATCTCGAACGTCTGCAACAAGTGGCGAACACGCTACCGCTGGGCCATGTTCGTGTAGCGAGTTCAACTGAGTCGCAGACGTAGACTTGGAAGGCAACACATTTATTTAACTCCAACACATGGGGTCACTTCCCCTGAACAGAATAACAACCTATGGTGGTGACCACCAGGCTAACTACACTAGTTACAACGAAACTGCTACTACAGACCGGGACCAACAGCTCGGGCTCAGGTCCACGTGTTGGAGACTCGTTGAATGGAGAACGTAGACGAAGGTTTCTTCAGGATGAACAACAACAACCCTGGTCTCGCTCGGGGACCTGGCTTATATTCTCTGCGGCGTGGCTGGCTCCGCCCTTGGCCACGACCACCTTCCAGAATTCTCGGGAAGGATCTGGATCCCAACCCTAGCTCCTACTTGGGACCCCTTTGTTGACTTAACTGGTCACGTGTCCACTCGGGTCAACCAGAGTGCCATGGCCTTTAGCAACCTTACTCCTACGGCCGGCACTCCCACACCCTGTCCTGTACGGTTGGCACTGCACGCCAAGCGTGGTGCCATCCAGCGCAATCAATCAGCGCACGCCGTGCCTATCTAGGGCCGGCACTGCACAGTGGCATCCCGCGATGTCACTACATTAGTAACAATCGCTGCATTGCTATACTCACGTGTTTTAACACAATGCCAATGCAATGATGCCACGACATCCTTGGTTGTAACATCCTTGGTTGTAACTTTAACTTACTTTTTTTTCCCTCTGTTGAGCCCTCAACCTGATCTATAGAACAGGCGTGCATACACAGCTCGTGTACATAATATCAACACAATACCCATTTGTTTTCACACTTTGCAATGTCTTTAAATGAATTCACATAATCTTCTGCGGGATAGTTATGGATGTTCTGCGCACTCACGCACCCGGGTTAAATTGTTGGCATAGGTAAACGCTGTGCGTTTGCAGAGAGCGGCTCTTTGTCAACTTTGTGCGTTCATGCAAATTGATTTGTGCTTTTGTTTCATCGTGCCATACATAAACATGTGGGCACATCTTGCGATAACCCCTGCAAAAAACCCCTGCTGCGTGTTGTTAATGACCGAGAGAGTAATTACTCAAGGATTTCGTGTTTTAATTGGGTATGCCAGAGATAACCCTCCATTCTACGTGGTTGCACTTAACTGTAAGATCTGTAGGTCAGGGCAGTATTGCATAGTAATGTATGCTTGCTTTCCCCCCATTTATCCTCCTGCGAGTTTGCCCGTTAATTAACAATTATTACATCACCACCACAGTTGTAGATTGGCGAATAAGCTGCTTTCCTTTTGTTTTAATTCCCGGGCCGTGGTGCGGGCCGGGGGTAGTCGTGGGGGTGGAAATTTGGACAGGGTGGCGGGGACCCCATTTTATTGTTTGCGCCGTGGGGGTTGATACCAACCGCGCTACGCCACTGCCTTCTGTAGCGCGCCGTATCCGAGCTGCCGTGTTCGCATGTGGTTTCGAATTTGAAACACATTTTTCGGATAAGATATGGGATTGTTATTCTACTTTCCATTCAGCTGCAAACCAATGGGCTACCTTGCGCTGCGGCCAGAGTGGAGCGCCAGCAGACTTCGCTGCAGTTTAGTGTGTCCCAAATTTATATTTTAAAATATCGGTTAAATGATCCTTATGGCGGTACCCCGGGGTACCAAATAATACAAAATGGCAGAGGCAATTCAATATTTTATTTCGGGGACACTATTTTTTCCAGGGGTGTACTTCACTCCGCGACTGAGGTACCAATCAATCTGAAATCATTGCTACTCGGCGATGTCGAAACGCAGCGAGGACGATTGCACTGAAACCTTGAACTCTCATATGCACCATAGTGGTGCATCGTGTCCAGCTCGTCGAGATGAGTCGATTGCCGCATCGCAGACCATCAACAGACTAAAAATGACTGCATCACGGACATTATGCGAGAGCCGGGGTACTATGGTACCCCGGGTACCGCCATAAGGTTCAAATATTAACTTATCTGGGAAACAGTGGCATACCAGCCCTGTGTGTATCCCCCCCCCCCTCTCTCGTTCTCTGCCACGTGTCTCTGTGACTCAATTTATGACCGTTCGAAAATAAAAAAAATCCACACTTGGAAAGTTTAAATCTGCTGACCGCCGTGTAATTTAACATTGCTCTTCGCAGACCGTCTCCGACTGTGTCCTGTACTACTACTTGACCAAGAAAAATGAGAACTACAAGGGGCTGGTGAAGAAGAGTTACGGGCGCCGGAGGGGAAGGAACACGGTAAGCGATATCCCTCCGATGCCACGCCACGACGCCACCCCCCCCTTCTTGGTTCTTTCGGTAAAGTCACGTAGAAGGGAAGTAATAAAATAATAAAAATTGTACATAATAAAACAATTCTCACGACGTTTCAACCACAACGCAAGCAGCCGTCTGTCGAGGCGACAGCATCTGAATGACGCTGTCGCCTCGACAGACCTGGTTTTCACCTGAGGACGGCTGCTTGCGTTGTGGCTGAAACGTCGTGAGAATTGTTTTATTACGTTTTATTTTTATTATTTTATTACTTCCCTTCTACGTGACTTTACCGAAAGAACCAAGAAGATGAATCCCTGCAGTCACGAAAGCTTTAAATCGAAAAAGCCACCCCCCTTCCCTCAATTTTGAGAAGCCCGTCAGAAAATCACGAACCCGCAGTGGTGGCAGCGCAGAGGCAGCAACGTAAATGTGTCGGTAAACTCCGTCAAAAGCTCAGGGCCCCCCTCCCGACCCCCTAAGAGGCTCAAGGGACTCGGGGATGTAAAATAGAAAATTGTCGCGTGTCAGATATCAGAAATATCAGCTCGCATTCAAATACGAATAAACAAAGCCAACTAAATAAAGAAACAATGACTGTAACCTCTGCCCTCTATCTTGACTGCATTCTCTCATCTCACCACATCACTTTTTTTGGCCGATATTTCTCTTATTTTACTCCACATATATATTTTGTCGATGTCTCTTTTGTCATATCACTGGGATTTTGTTAATTGAAAGGGGGGGTGCTCCCACCACTGATATTTTCTCTGTATACTGGGGGGGCCCCCGTTTGGGCCAGCATCGCCACTCTGCGTTTATCACGCTTGTGCTGCTGCTGCTGTCCATTGCCCCAATTCTTTTTATTCACAACTCAGAAATTTTGGCCCAGTTAATAAAAAAAAAACATCGGGATGTTTTTATCATTTCCTGATGTCCAACAATGAATTTTCATCCAACCCACCCCAGAACCCCCACCCCTCTACACCCACCACCCCCAATCCCCCAACCGCTCCCTCAATAACGGAATCGTGTGTGGAAAAAACGCCGTTGCTGCTGACGTGATTTGCAGGGAAATCCATCCTCGTTTTGGCACGAGCATATTTCTCTCCATGTGAACATGAATCCCCTGAAAGCAGCGGATGTATCTGAAGCTCTATTAATAGGGAATGAATAATATGGGCGGTGTATGTCGCGCACGGACAGACCGCATCTCTTCGCACCAATGCCAGGGGGCTCTTTCGTAAAGAGTCAACGACATGATCCCCCTTTTTTGGCGAATAGTTGAATGTTCATCCCGTGACGACGCTGGAAAATCGCATTTGTGTGCCAGAGGGCAAACTAACACTTGAAGGTTGTCGCCGATAAAAGTTTTGCGCGCGAATAAACACGTGTGCTGTGTATTATTTTACAAATCTCACGTTTATGGCATGTTTTTACATACAAGCTACCGATAATTTGTTTGGTTACTTTCTGCAAAAGGAGATGACCTGCAGCACCGCGGGGAAGAAAAAACCTTTGCAGGTAGTCAGCCTTGCGAGTCCTGTGATTTGCGATCTGCGGAAGGTTGCGTCTGCATTTGCGATCTTGGATAGAGTAGGTAGGCTGTCAGCAGGCTTTGAGGAACACTGTTAGACCTACGTTTTTGTTCTTATCCTATTGGTATTTTATAATGCGTTTGAGTAAGGGAGGCGCGCTTAGTTATATTTACAGTATACTGCTGCACTTATTTTTTGTCGCTTTAAAAAGGTCTAGAAAATGAATGTATCCCAGCGTTTCAAGCTCTGCCTGTCCTATTCCGTGTTGTTACATAAGGGGTTGCCCTAGTTATAACCGGCTATTTCCAGCGAATGCTGTGAACCACGTAAAAACCCTCGGTCGTGGGCTAGGGAGCGGGATATAAGGATAAAGATGTGCGCTTATTGTTCCTCGTCTTTCCGCGTCGCCGCAGCCGTCGGGTGCTGGAGAGCGTTCTACAGATGGGAGAGAGAACTGGGGGGGAGGGGAGAGAACCGGGGGTCGGTTGGGGGGGAGAGGGGGTGGTCGCCTTTGTGAACGAAACCGGATCTGGCACAGATGCTGCCGTACGTACGAGTACCTGACCTTGTGGTCTTTGACAGATAAGGCCAAACGGTGGCCCTGCGCACGAACACCTGCATGGCTTAGCCGCTCCGTGTGAATTTGTAAAAACGCGGAGGACTGTTTTGCTGGCAAAGTTACCGTTGTTATCGAACAACAGCCACGTCACAACGTCGCTCTGCTTAAAAATAACAGAGGCGTGCACAAACACACTGAAGAGGTCTGTTTAGTGCATTGCGGTGCAGCGGACGGCGCTGTTTAGACTGGGTACAATTAAATTGTCAAGGTGGCTGCAGCAGTAATGCTTATATATTCTTATATGGTTGTACCGGGTATCGTAATACAGGGAGTTGATTCGGCCCATCATCCCGTTGGGAAGACAACAGTGGTTTTGCTGTGGACAGACTAGACATCCTGGATAGGAATGTGGAATCTCCACAATTGGCTCAGGCCTGTAAGCTGGTCATGAGCACCACCTCAATGCTCATTTGAGCAGGAAATCGCAGTATTGAGTACAACGTGGAAAAAAACCCAACATACATTATATTCGTCACAATGTTGCCGCTAATGAGTTAGCCCCCCCCCTCCCCCCGATAGTTTTCAGACGACCGCGTCCGATATACCTTGTGTTTTTCGCCGTGCAATTGATTTTTTTTTACAAATGGCACACAGTCGCGTGGCTTGGACCGTCTGTTGCTTTGTAAAGCAGTTTCGGGGTTAAAATTGAACGCCCGTAGGCGGCCCTTGTGTGCGCGCTGTTGGGGATGTGGCAATCTCTTTGTCGAGAGAATGATGGCGGGAATGGCGGTTATGTTCGGCGAGATGGCCGGGCTGCCAAGGCTGTCGAGACACCATCGTCCCTGAAGACTGCATACCTGTCCATTTCACGGTTCGAGAAAATCGTCGTACTTATGTCTGACACAAACGTTTCAAAAGACGGAGATGGAAAAGTTGTTTACCTCCTGCCCCCCCCCCCCCCCCCCACAGGCTCCGTAGAGTTGTGAAAAACAACCCAAAGCCTTTGTGAGATCATCCTCGCTGCTCTAGCAGACGTGTTAATTAACGTATATTTTTTTACAAATAAGTGTTTCTGTGGGATCATTGGATTTATCTTTAAGGCTCAACATCTGACATTCAACGCATGACATGATAATCCAACTCCTGCGCAATTAATCTTTTCACCGAAACCTTTTTCACACCATTGGAATTGCTTTGAGGATTATTGATTAATTGTTTAGCTATGGGCTGGCAAGGGAGGCACGATGTAATAATGTAAAACTATGTAACTTTCTAAACGTCACAGCCCTTTGTCAATCCACTGTTCGGTGAAGGCCTCCCCGTGGTGGGGGTAGGGGGCGTGTGTATGACCATACTTCACCACGCCGGTCAGTTTGTTTTCGTGAAAGGTGGGGCGGGGACCGTTTAAATTATCACTCGTCACTGATGTTTGCCGTGGCCGGGATTCGGAACTCACCAGTTACATATCGCCATTGCACTTAGTACAGCGCCACCGCCCCGCCGCCTAATTTATTTTGAAGTCCTTTACCCTCTTCACATTGACAGCAGACTCCTTGTTCAGCGAGATTAGCCGGGTTTGGTGAGTGACGTTCGGTATGCAGTTCCTCCACAGCCAAGAGCAACATTTTTTTTAATAGTGGCAAAATGAGGGCAAGAAATTGGTGCGGTTCCCACGCACTAAAATAAACCCAACTCACCGCAACATTATCTGGCACATTTAATCGGCCAGTTACCAGTCTCATTCACTCTGACCAGATTCGCGTGGATTGTGTTAACGTACGTTCAACTTATTTTGCACCGTGCGTAGCCATTCGCGCGAATCGCAGGGATGCGGGAGAAGGACAACAATAATCTAAACGCCAAAAGCAGTTCTAAAGAAGCGAGTCTTCAATCTGGATTTACAAGTGCGTGGTGGCCCGCCATTCCATTGATCAAGGATCTAGGTGGTTATCCCTTGCGTGTGACCATTCCTTTCACAGGCCCGCTAATTGACTCCCTTGAGGCCCGCCCGTCGGCCGGCTCGCCTGGCCCACCCGGCCACTTCACTGGTTCTTGCCTGCTGGGCGTAGTCTTAACTCGGGTGTCTTTACCGCCCCGATTATGGACCTAATTGATAGGTTGCAGCCGTAAAGGGAGGCACAGCCATTGATCTGCTAAACGCCTCCCCTGGTTACTGCATTGTGAGCGTGGCGGCTGCGACGGTGGAGGCGGCGGTGCTGTTGTGTGAAAACGGCGTAATGTATATTGTTTTAGGCCAAACACGTCGGCCCTTTGAGGCACGCATTTACGTGTTTGCATTTTTGAGCGCATGGTGCCAAGTGTTTTTCTTCGAAGTGGTCACCGCCGTGTGTCCTTAGTCACCCTTGATTGTGATGCACTTATTTGTTTTTGTATGTCTGTTGGGGGGAGGGCGGGCTGCAGTGGTGGAGGAGGGGGAGAGCTCCTTTAGCCCTCCTGCGGCAGTGTTTACAAGCAGGGCCCTGTTTGTTTTCGGTGGAGGCAATACTTAATCGTTGCAGGCGGTTAATTTTGCGTGACATGAGCACGCCCCCGCTGGAGAGAGTGTTCTTGGGACTCGTAACGTCTGACGCTTGCGAGCAGAGTAGATGCACCGCAGACAACCCCCCCCCCGCCCAGCACTTTCAATGCAGAGGGTTGGTGGTTCTTTCCTGCCGGTATCCACAGAACGTATTATGTGCATTTGGTGCGGCCAAGCTAAACAATCCCAGGACCGTCTCTCGTATTTTTTTTTCGGTGCTTATAAAAAAAAGTCGAGCCACGCTGAATATTTTTTTGCCCGCCTCTGAGTTACGGGGGTTTGACCTCGGTCGGAATGGCGGATAAACAGCACTCTCCACGCAGCATTGCGCCGTGTTTTGCTTGAAAAT